TAATGATAACATAATTACCGTCATTTTTTGGGCTTGTCAGCCCTCCTGAGTTAACAGAGGAGGGACCGAGTCGGGCCAGTCATGCAATGAGTCAGAAATGCAGGGACGTGGGTAGCAGCATGCAGGGATTCAATTGGAGAGACACTGGGGCTAGTCAGACCTTGATTCACACTTTGGGTTTGTCATTTACCATGGTGTTTGAATTAGTTGCTCATCCTGATTCTTGGGTTTTCCAGCCTTAAAATGCTAAAGGAGATTGTTGGGAGGTAGAGAGATGACACATACATGGGCAGTACAGAACTGGGCCATGGAGACCTCACTTAACAAGAAGCAGTGCTTCTGGCTCCTACTGCATCTGCTGCTTTGTTGTTATTGTTGTTGTTTGACCTCCCCAGCAGTTCCCAGGAGTGTGGAAGTCAGTCCTGTGGTATTCAGCCAAACAGGCCAAATGCTTATTTATTTATTTTATTTTGGAGTCAGGTGTCACATCTGGCAGTACTCAAGGCTTACTCCTAGCTCTGTGCTCAGGGATCACTCCTGGCGGGCTTGGGGAAAAATAATGGGAGAAAGAATCTGAATCAGCCGTGTGCAAACAGAGGCCCCACTTGCAGTACTAGTGCTTTGGTCCCCAAACTAAATGGTTTGATGTTTGAGCCTGATGATGTAGTCCTACAAGGACATGTAGGGGTCAGGGGCCACCAGGGGTCACACCATGGTATTCAGGGGCCTCCGGCACTAGACCTGGTGGTGCTGGAGCTTAAACTCGGATCTTTTGATTTTGTTTTTATTTTTAAGCTACAACTGGCAGTGCTCAGGGGTTACTCCTGTCTCTGCACTCAGGAATTACTCTTGGCAGTGCTTGGAGGACTATATAGGATGCTGGGGATTGGATCCCAGTTGGCCACGTGCTGCGTAAGCACCCTACGTACTATCACTCTGGACCTGAATTCAGGTCCTTTGAGTGCAAGGCATGTGCCCTTGAGCTATTTTTTTTTCAGCACTGTGTATATTCAGTCTTGTTTTGTTTTGTTTCATTTTGGGGGCACACCTGGCAATGCTCAGGGCTTACTCCTGGCTTTCTGTTTAGGGATCACTCCTGGTGGGACTTGGGACCATGTGGGGTGTTGGGGATTGAACCTGTGTCAGCCATGTGCAAGACCCTACCTACCCAGTACTCTCCCCAGCCCCTACATTCTTAATCTCTATATAACTCAGTGTTTTTTTGCTCTTTTTCCTCGAGTGCAAGGGATCAAACACAGAGCGTCAAGATTTGTATTGTGCCTCTAAGCTATATTATCATCTTTTATGTGTCTGTTTTCATTTTGGGGCTGGCTATACCCAGCAGGGCTCCTGGTTGCCAATGTTCTCTGGGGATCAATCCAGGCCTGCCTCACTTGCATGAAGCATGGGCTTAGCCCACTGAGCTATTTTTTCATAATCCCAGCCTGTAATTTTTTTTTTCCTAAATAGGAAAAAGAGACATGGATCCCTTCAAGAATTTGTAATCTGTGGGTACCCAAATTTAGAGGGTTCATACCCTTTCTGATATTATAAATGAAAATTTAATCAAATCAGACTTAATCCAATCAATTTCTCTCTTTTCTATCTAGCCTTATCAGTACCAGACTAGCTGATGTTAGCTCACATTTTTTTCTAACAACAGCACTGCAAATGCATTCTCAGCAAACACCACAACCACACTGTTACTTTCTAGGACTGGGAACAGGGTAGCACTTGTCTTCTAAGCATTAATGTCCTTATCTGTAAAACAGTGAAGATTAGTTAAAGTAACATTTTAGGTTGATAGCATTTTTCTGGGTATTTTGATTTCGTTTTATAGCAAGTAGGGTGCTTGCCATGCAAGTCGCTGTCTCCATTACATATGGACCCCATATGAGCACCATCAGCAGAGCCTGGAATAAGTCCTGAGCAGCGCTATGTGTTACCCCCCAAATATTTTTTTCATTTTATATAATAATGCTGTGAGTTAGATTATTTTTATTCGACTCATCTAATATGAGTTCTTAGTGAGTTCTAAGTTTTCTTTTATACACAGGGATACTTCATAGAGTTCACATAATGGGAAGAGTTTAAAAACATAAACTGCTAATTGTGATAAATACTAACAATGTAAATCAGACAAGATAAAGAACTAAAATCTGTATTGCAAAGCACAGTGTCCCAGAGAGAAGAGGGAGGGAGGGGGAGATAGAAGAAAAGTACCTGCCATGATGGGCAGGTGGGTGTTGGGTCACTGTATGACTGATACCTAATCATGAACAGCTTTTTTTTTTCTTTTTGGGGCACACCCGGCGATGCACAGGGGTTACTCCTGGCTTTGCACTCAGGAATTGCTCCTGGCGGTGCTCAGGGCACCATATGGGTTGTTGGGAGTTGAACCCAGGTCGGCCACGTACAAGGTAAATGCCCTACCCACTGTACCATTGCTCCAGCCCCTCATGAACAGCTTCATAAGAGTCTCTCTCACACTGATTCAATTAAAACATTTTTTAAAAACACATAAAAGATAAAGAACTAAGGGCTTGGAATGATAAAGCAGGGGTCAAGGCAGGCCTTCCATGTGGCAGTACCCAGTTCAATCCTCAACACTTGCATATGATCCCCCAGCACTACCAGGAGTGATACCTGGGCCTATATAGAGCCTGGAGTTAGCCCTGAGCCCTGCTGGGTGTTGTTCAAAAAATAAAAATAAATAGGGGCCAGTTCAACAGTACAGTGGGTAGGCATTTGCCTCACACACTACCAACCCAGGTTCTGTACCGAGCATCCCATGTGATCCCCTGACCATTGCCAGGAGTAACCACTGAGCATCTCCCGTTGTGGCTCCCAAACAAAACCAAAACACAAAGGTAAATAAAATAAAAGTAAAGAATTAAGAAAGGGCCTAAGAAGGCGGTTCAGAGTTAGAGCACATGTGTCAAAGTGTAAAGCTCTGGGTTCCATCCCTGGCACCACAAAAAAACAACAACAACAACAAAAAAAAAGACTAAGAATACATTTAGGTTGTATATTGGATACAATTTATGTACATTTGTATATCAAAGTTTCAAGGTTAAATGGTAGCTACTTTTGTTATTTTTATGGTAACTTTGTTTCCCTCTCATCAATACTCCCCTGGGGCATTATAGAAACCTAAGATCCGCCTGCTTAGGGCCCCTTCTTAAAGGCCTTGCAAGGTTTCTAAGGCTGATAGCCTTAAATTTCAAGTGGAGGGACTTTACAGTAGGTAGAACTCTTGCCTTTCATGTGGCCAACCTCAACCAGGAGTGATCACTGTGCACAGAGCCAGAAGGAACTTCTGAGCAAGGTGATCTAAAACAGAATAAAACAACCACCAAACTGACTATAGAGGTATCCAATAGGAAACCTTCTATCTAGCAATATTACTCAGCACACTGCCAGCCTGCAGGATTTTGAATCTTGCTTGATTATTCCTTGAAGGATAAAACTCCTGCTGTTGAGAACAAAATGGTAGATGTTTTCTTTACTCCCTTCCCCCCCATTTTTTTTTGGAGGGGGGATTGGGCCACACCCAGTTATGCTCAGCGAAGTGTATTTGGTGCCAGGGATTGAACAGGGGTCCATCTGCATGCAATTCAAGAGCTTTGCCCCTGTTCTCTCTCTCTCTCTCTCTCTCTCTCTCTCTCTCTCTCTCTCTCTCTCTCTCTCTCTCTCTCGCTCACTCTCGCTCTCTCTGTGTGTGTGTCTTGTTCTCACTCATGCTTCCTCCCTCCTCCACCCCCCCACCCCCCCCCACCTCCCCCCCACCCCCCGCCTGCCTTTATTTCTTCTCTGGCCTCAGTGCTTGGGGGAACTAAATGGAGCCAAGGATTGCACTCGAGGCTTCATATGGAAGAGTTGAAGCCTGGAAGAGTCTCCAGACTTTTCCACTTAGGTGAAATGTCATGAAAAATACACTGGCAAGTTGCTGTTGGGATATATGATTTAGATTTGATCTGATCTAATCAAAGGAGATGCTTTTAGCCCCAGTATTACATTTTCAACTGCTTTTGTTGTTGTTTTCTGAGGGAGTGGGTCACACCCTGCTGTACTTGGGGGGAATCATGCAATGCTAAGGATGGAGTTCAAGGCTTCCAAATGTTAAACATGTTCTCCAGCCCTTTGAGCCACTTCCTGGGTCCCACAGCTACTGTTCTTTTTAGTAGTAACAACAGTAATGGTAAGTTTGGAGTTTCTAGGGTGTTGTTAAGTCTCCAGAGGTGTTCCTTGGTCAGATCTGATTCAGATCCTACTAATTAAACAGAAATATGGGGGGGGGTTGTTTGTTTGTTTTTGGGTCACACCCGGGGATGCCCAGGGCTCACTCCTAGCTGGGACTGAACCGCTATCTGCCGCGAGACAAGCCCCTTAGGTGATATACTATCTCCTTGGCCCTTTTATCCTATACTTCATTTAAGAAGTTAGACACACGTGGGTTGACTTTTAGCAATTCCTCGGCTTTTGAGATCCCAGTGGAACCTAAAATACTTAAGATTCCATCTCTTCCGTTTCTCTTCACTCAAATTAAATTTGGTCTCCTCGAGCCTCGCTTTCCCGATTTGCAAAATGCGAATAATGAACTCCACTAATCGGGTGGCTGAGCGCTCGGGTGAGGGAGGTCGCTAACGTGAATCCCTGCTGTTTCCCAGCCCCTCGAGCAGCCGGAGCAGCCCGGGGGGCCTCTGACAGCTGTTCAGAAGGTGGCTCAGCGCCCCGGGGCAGGGCAGGGCAGGGCAGGGCAGGGCGGTGGGTGGGTGGGTAGGGGGTAGTAGTAGATCAGCCAGGGTCCCGCCCCGCGCCTCCCTCGGTCCCAGGCGTCGGGGCCCGCACCCTGCGGAGCCCTCCGGACCGGTCCCGCACCGAGGACCAGAAGCAGGGCGCGCGGGGCCCCCCGAGGCCCGGGGGCGGGGCCTGCAAGCCGACCGGGCCCGCGCGCCCCCCGCGCCCGCCGAGGCCCGGAAGGGGCCAGCTGCGCTTCCGTCTCCGCCGGGGATGCACGGAGGGCGGAGCCGCGGCCCGAGGACGCGACGCGAACCCAGTTCCGGCGAGGAGGCCGCGCCAGTGACAGCGATGGCGGCGGAGTCGGCGCTCCAAGTTGTGGAGAAGCTGCAGGCGCGCCTGGCCGCCAACGCCGACCCCAAAAAGGTGAGCGAGGGGCCCGCGCGGGCCGGGCCAGGCGTTGGGCGCGGCGCAACCCCATAACGGTCGCGGGCCGGACCCCCGGGGGTGGGGGCGGGGGTCTGGGACCGGGAGCCGGACTCGCCCCCCGCGGGGTCGCGGTGCCGTGGGGACCCCGCGGCCGGTGCCCTCTGCCGCCGCCCTGTGCCCGGGCCGCCGCGGGTCCCGACGGGCCGGGACGCGCTCCGGGCGGGCTCCGTGTGCCGGCCGGGCCCCCGGAGCTGCTCCCGGAGCCGGGCGACCGCGGAGACCCCGCGCCCCAGTTCTCCGCGTGCCTGGCACGGCCAGTGCGCCGTGGGGTCCGGCACTGAGGGGGCGGCTGCGTCCCCGGGCTCCGCGAACGCCGTCCCGGGTGGCATTAGGGCCGGGAGCCCGGCACCTTTTCTTGGCAGCCGATCTCTCGGAGCGGGTGAGACGAGCCTCCCCGTCTTGCAGCCGGACACCTGCAAACTTCAGTCATTGGGGACAGGGGTCGGGGGGCGAGGACCCAGCGGAGAAGGCGCGCTGTTGCTCCTCGGCTTCCCTCTGGCCTTGGTGGCGAGGTGCCACGTTCCCGTGCCTTGCTGGTGCGGACGCGGGCGGCCGAGCTGAGCTGAGCTCGTCTACGCTACTGGTTTTCAAGCGGAGCTTAAATGCCTTCTTCCCCCTCCCCGCTTCCCGGACCCCCGGCTGCTCGGGCTCGCGGAGCGTGTCCGGGAGATGCCGGAGCTACCCGGGAAGGTGTGTGACACGGTGTCAGCCCGGCAGACTCCCGCGATCGCTTCCTGAAGTGCTGTCGCAAGAGGAAGTGACCGGGGAGGCGGCGCGGTCGGCCACGGTCCCAGGCCACCCCGTAACCCCCGCACCCCGTGCGTGTTGGTAACTCTCACCTGCTTCCTTCCCTAACGTGGCTAACGTGGAAGGCTGAGTGTAGAGCACCAGGCCATAGGGGCTGCTTGCAAATAGTGATGACATGCCTTCGAATTCTCCCTCCCACTCTTCCAAGTTTTTCTTTTCCTCTGGATTCCAGCCTCCACTCTGACTGTGGCACACAGCGGCTCGCCATCAAGGCCACTTTTCAGCTTTTCTCCTTTCTCCCTAGCTCAAAGAGCTCTGCTTCTTCAGGCAGGGAAGCCATTTTAGTTTTAAATCTGTGATAATGCTTTCAATTGTTTTGGCTTATGTTTTCTTTGCTGCTCCAGTACCAAGTGCTCAGGCGTACGTACAAGTTTCTTTTTATAATATTTTTTTTGTGGATCTCTAATGAATGGTCATTATTTTTGAGCACTAGTTTGTTTTCTTAAACACTATAGGTTTGTGAGTGATTTTTAAAACCGTAAAGTAGTAGTTCTGTCAGGCTTTTAGAAATGCTAAGGTTTCTGCAAGAAAATTTCCCACTAGAACTTAAAGTTTGAAGTGGCATTTCTAATAGTTATTTGGCATGAACAAATTAGGAAAAGGATCGTCCTACTTGCACTATTAGTGCTTACTATAGCGTTAAAGCTTTCTCTTCCCAGATAGAATATCAGATGTATGGATTTGCATAATAAAGTGAGCATTATGATGAGGAGAAAATGTTGGAAAGTCATTTTTGCAAAGGGCACAATAGTTGGCATCCGGAAGAAAAACTGCAAGCTGGCACACTGGCCTTCCCAACCTTCTACTAACCCAACAAGCTCCCACAGGTTGTTCTTGAAATTGCAAGATGATTATATATGACAGTATTGAACTTACAACTAGATCTTGATTTCAAACCATTATTAGCCAAAGGAATGATTCCACACCTATATTCATGTGTTGTGTGTGTGTGTGTTAAATACTAGTGTTTTTAACTGTGATTAAGTTAATTTGTGATCAGGCATATGTGGGGAGAAGGTATCAGCTAGACCAGGGTTACTCAATTTCCTGTTTCTACTTTTTAATTGGAAACAGTTTTAAGTTGCTTGTAAAGTTACCAGCTTTCAGCTCATGTTAAACTTTTTTTAAGATTTTTTTTCTTTTTGGGTCACACCTGGCGATGCACAGGGGTTACTCCTGGCTCTGCACTCAGGAGTTACTCCTGGCGGTGCTCAGGGGACCATATGGGATGCTGGGAATCGAACCCGGGTTGGCCGCGTGCGAGGCAAACGCCCTACCCGCTGTGCTATCTCTCCAGCCCTCATGTTAAATTTTTTTGTTGCTGTGTGTGTAGGAGAGGGTTGTTTGTTTTTCTGGGGGGGGGGGAGTGGGGCTACATCCACAGGTGCTCTGTACTTAGTTGTGACCCTATGTGGTACTGAGGGTTCTAACTGGGGTCAGGTGAGATGTAAGTTAATGTTTTAACTTCTGTGCTATCTCTCTGGCCCTTGTGTTACATTTTAAATAAATGTAAAAAAAAAAAAGTAAGTTTGGTGACAAGCAAGAATGAGGAGGGTTACCATTATGAACATCTTCGCTCTTTGGGTTATAGAAGTATGCCAAGGACATGAGATTCCTAAGCTTATATTGTGCAAATGTTTGATATTTTCAATGACGTGTTATCGGTTCTTGCAAACTATAACTGGTACTTTGGTTTGATAAACAGCAAGTTTCCAGCTTCTGCCGGATGTCTAAAGTACTTTTACTTTGTTAAGTTCTTTCTTGAACCTCATTGAAAATAGAGGGTCTCTACAGCTCTTCCGTGTTTAGAATCTACTTGAAAGTCTTGTTTTAGTTTAGTCTGCTCTTAACTTACACTTAGGAACCCAAAACGAAACAGAAAGACAGCCTTTAATCCTCCCATTAGTTTGCAGTGAACACACCCGCAGTGACTTCTGGTCCATCCTTAGATGTTGACTTTGTACATGATGTGGGACTCTGTCCCCTTGCTGTCTTCTGTATTCTGGACTTTGAACTGTGTAGCAGCCTTCTACTTTGGGTCTCATGTGCAAAGAGACATTGGAGCTGCTGCTCTATGTTCTTTTCCTATTTTCTAAGGACATGGTTATTAAGTTGAATGTTTCTCCTGGCTTTATAGTGCATACTGTTATTGACATACATGATTAGTAGCTTGTATGGGAAGTTGCTTACCCTCATTGGGCTCAGTTTTGATATCTGGAAAATGAGGAGACTAAGATTCACTTTATAAATGAGGATGAAATGAGATAACATACAAGACCTTAGCATAGTAGCCAATACACAGTTTAATAGTATATAAACAACCTTCCAGAGAATGCCATTAGGAGACAACCTATATTTAGTCTTTTCAGTGATTAATTTTTTTTTTAAGAAAAAGAATTGCCAGGGACTGAGTGATAGTATAGCAGGTAGGGTGTTTGCCTCAAATGCGGCTTGGGTTCGATCCCTGGCACACTGAACCCTTCAGCAGTTATCCCTGAGCTCAGAGCTAACGAGTAAGTCCTGTGCACTGCTGGATGTGGTTCAAAAGAAAAGAGAAAGGGAGAAAGTAAGAAAGAAAGGAAGAGAAAAGGAATTATCAGGACGAGAGAGAGAGAGCACATCCAGGAAGGCATTTGCCTTGTATGTGCCTGACTTGGTCAGCCATATTTGAGGCAAACACCTTACCTGCTATACTATCACTCCAGCCCCTGACAATTCCTTTTCTTTAATTTTTTTTCTTTAATCACTGAAAAGGCTAAATATAGATTACCTTCTAATGTCAGTCTCTGGAAGGCATTTATATACCACTCAGTGTGTATTGACACTCTGCTAAGGTCTTACATGTTATCTCATTTTATGACCAGCACCACATATGGTCTCTGAGCACTGCCAGGAGTGATCCTGGAGTGTAGAGCCAGGAATAAGCCCTGAGCACCACCAGGTGTGGCCCAGCCCCACCTCCACCCTCAAATAGAGAATTGTCATTATCTTTTGCAACCATTGCTTGGGTGGCAAAAACTACACAAAAGCTTTCTCCTGAGTTAGATGATAATGGTTATCAGCTTTGAAATGGAGGATAATTTTCACTGCACCACAAAGATGAAACTCCCTAAATACACCACTTGAATTCTCATTGTGTCAAATGAGATTATCAGTGTGCTCCAGTTGCTTTGTCTATTGATCATCTTCAGTAATTATTGAAGTAAAATGACCTTTAGGAAAGCACTGTTGCTATTCCATTTAATAGCAGGATGACTTAGTAAAGCCTAGGTTATACAAAGAAAAAAACAAATCTGGCTATCTTATATTTAAATGAAAAGATAATCACAGTTATGCATTTTGAACTATTTGTACTTTGTAGCCCTTTTCCTGCCAGTTGTGTTTATGTACACATGGCTATTTCGTAGAGAAAGACATAGCCAATCATGACTTTTGGTAAAAGTGGACCAGGTAGGAATTGGCTGAAAACTCTCTGGTTACAGATCAAGGACAGACATTTAAAGAGCCGCCAGTTGATGGTTGAAATAATTAATAATCAATTTTATAGCTTTCCAGTATTCTGGCTGGTGACTGCACATAACTTGACACTGAAATCTGCTAGTGAAGTAGAGATTGGATCCAGTTTCTAGCTTCCAAATGAAATACCTGAGGTCCCTAGAGGTTCCTGATGTGCACATCATGGCAAGACAGTGACAGAGGGGGCTGATACTATAGTGGGTAGGGTATTTGCCTTGCAAGCAGCTGACCTGGGTTCAGTCCCTGACATCTCATATGTTCCTTCGGCCCACCTGGAGTAATTTGTGAGTGCAGAGCCAGGAATAACCCCTGAGTATCCTTGGGTGTGGCCCCAAAGTGAAAAACAATAAAATGAGCAACAATAAAAAAAAAAAGACAGTGACAGAGCCAAACTGAAGACTGTCTCTCAACCCCGAACTTAGTTTTAACAGTTCTGCTATTCCAGTTTGACCTAGTTTTAGGATCTACAGAAAGGAAATGTGGCCAAACCCAGATCACTTTTCTAATCTACGGAGACATTTTGTACTCACCGTTAACACTCTGATTCTGGAGACCAAGACATGGGGCTTGGTTTTCTGCTTGTATAAAGAGGTATTCTTTTTGTTTGTTTATTTTGGGGTGACACCTGGCAGTGTTCAGGGCTTGCTTTTGGCTATGTGCTTAGGGATCATTCCTGGCAGGCTTGAGAAACCATATGTTGGTGGTGGGGATTAAATTTACGTAAACTGCATGCAAGGCAAGGGCCCCTACCTCTGTACTAGGCTCCGGTTCCCAAAAAGTATGTATTCTGTTAAATACTGTGACTCTTACTGGAACTTGATAACATTTTCTTAATAGACACACCTTTTTGCTTTCCTCTATGCTGGGCCCATGAGTAATATTTCTGAAATTGGTACTTTCCTTAGAAGTTCTGTTTCAAAGGGCTGGAGCAATAGTACAGAGGGTAGGGCTCTTGCCTGGCACATGCCAACCCAGGTTTAATCCCTGGCACCTTATAAAGTCCCCCCAGCTTTCCAGGAGTGATCCCTGAGTACAGAGCCAGAAGTAAGCCCTGAGTACCACCAGGAGTGGCCCAAAAAATTCTGTTGTGAAACTGAGGCAAAATGATAGTTCCTACAGTTGGTAGTTTTGCCTTCTCTCAGACATATTTTCCCCTGGTGCAGAATAGTGGTTTAAAGCATGCTAAAGCTACAGGCCTTAGTGAATAATCCTGCCCTACCTGTGTCCCAGGGTAAGTAACTTAAAGTTTCTGAGCCCCTTTTCACATTTGTAAAGCAGGGATGATAATCATACTACTCTATAGTACACACAGTAAGTTCTTTTTTAAATTTTTTTAACTCAGTTCTTAACTGTCATATAGTTAATGAATTATTATGATTTTATAAAAATTAATATTTATTTTATTCTCTCTGCAGCTATTGAAATATTTGAAGAAGCTCTCTGCCTTGCCTATTACAGTTGACATTCTTGCGGTAAGAACTGTGTAAACTTAGATCTATGTTATGACTATATTCCATCTACTTCCCACTGGGAAGTATTGTAGAATAAGATTAGGGACATGGGCTTTGAAAATGATAGAAACCAGGCACAAGGTCATATGTTGAATGTATGATTCTGATTGTATGACATCCACAATAGCCAGAACCATACACTAGATGCAGATTATTGCTTCCCTGGGAACATGGTGAACTGGGAGGTACAAAGTTGCTTTTTAGAATGATAGAAATGTTCTGGAATTAGATAATGGTGAAGGTTGTGAATGTTCTGGGAACTACTGAACTAAACCCCCCACCCCTTTTATTTTCTGGGCAGGACAACACCAATGATGCTTAAGGCTTTTCCCAGTCAGTGAGTTTCTTGGGAGTCGCTCCTGACAGTGCTCAGAGTGATGTGGTGCCAGGGATCAAACCTGGGTCTTTTGCATGCATAGTGTAACATATGCTCTTCTGGCCTCAACGAGTCACGTGTTGGATGTATGTTTAAATGGTTCAAGTAGATGCCAGAGACTATATAGCTCAGTGATAGAGCAGATGCTTCATATATGTGAGGTCCTGGGCTCTATCCCAAGTACCCCCCAAAAATACAGGGGTTAATGTGCTTGGCCTGCATACAGCTAACCCCAAGATTTATCCCTGAGCACTGCCAGGAGTGACCTGAGCAAAGAGTCAGGAATAACCCCTGAGCCGAACACACACACACACGCACCTCAAATAACATTTAATTTTTAAAATGCCTTTATTTTTGGTTTGTCTGTGGTTCATACTTGGCACTTCTCAGGGGATCTTGTGGTACAGTGACTAAACAGGGCCTGCAGCGTGAAAAGCATATGCTCAGCCCTTTGGATTCTCTCACCAGCCCCACTAAATCTTATGCGATACGAATATTTTTTTCTGGGGAAGGGGGCATATCCAGCTTCACTCAGGGTTTATTCCTGGCTCTGCACTCAGGGATCATTCCTGGTTGTGCTTGGGGGACCATATGGGATGCCAGGGATCCAATCCAGGTTGGCTGTGTGCCAGGCAAGCACCCTTCCTGCTCCAGCCCATGAATGTTTTTGTTCTTTTTTGTTTTGTTTTGTTTTCAGCCCTTGAATTTTGTCTCAAAAATTTCCTAAGGAATTCAAAGATCACAGTGCTTTACACCAGTGAGTCCTGGATTCAAGTCCAAATTCTGTGACTTGAAGCTGTTTTAGGTCTTTCTTTTAGGTTTATTGTAAAAATTGAATCAGATAATGTATACATAGTTCTTTGCTCATTGGCTGACACCTGTGGGTAATCACTCTGGTTATTGTTAAAAGCTTTGGAAGTCTTTTTTTTTTTTTTTTTTTTTTTTTGCTTTTTGGGTCACACCCGGCAATGCTCAGGGGGTACTCCTTGCTCATACACTCAGGAATTACTCCTTGCAGTGCTCGGGGGACCATATGGGATGCTGGGAATCGAACCTGGGTCGGCCATGTTGGCTGCATGCAAGGGAAATGCCCTTACCCGCTGTGCTATCGCTCCAGCCCCAAGCTTTGGAAGTCTTTTAATTTATTTTTCTTCTCAATCTGGGGTGCTACTATCTATCATTAGAGGTTTGGGCATCAAAAACAAAGTAATTCTGCACTGAGACTTGAAAGGTATGTTTTATTAAAGACCTGTTTTTGTGTAGGGTCTCAATGGAAGATCCTTCTTTGCCTGCCTTCCCTTAATCATGGAGGCTCTCCCACCCACTATTCAGGGGACCTGGGTGCCATTAGAGTGATTCGTGTATAGATAGTTCAGTGCTTCAGCATGGGTGTTCTGGTCCAGTGGTGCTGGGGGCCTCCATATCCTGTGGTCCTGGGAAGAAGAAGCCTTATTTCTTTTTTGTGTGTTTTTATTTGTTTTTTTTATGGGGGTGCTGATCTGGCAGTGCTCAGGGCTAATTCCAAGCTCTGCACTCAGCGGTTACTCATGGTGGGCTTGGGGGACCTTATGGGGTGCCAGGGATAGAATTCTAATGGGCTGTGTGCCAGGCAAGCACTCTATCCACTCTACTATTGCCCTGTCCCTGCTTTATTTCTTTAGAAAACTGCCAGTTTCCATAATCTTCTAACAATTTCTTTATTAAATTTGTAGGAGACAGGGGTTGGGAAAACAGTCAATAGCTTGAGAAAAAATGAGCATGTCGGAAGTTTTGCCAGGGACCTAGTCGCCCAGTGGAAGAAGTTAGTTCCTGTGGAACGGTGAGCACATAATTTTATAGGTTTCTTCTACTGCCTGGTTATATCTGGTTCTCAGTGTTCACAGACAAGTGCTTTTACAAATTCTCTCTGCCATTTAGGTATTTATTTTTCATTTATTTATTTTGTTTTGATTACAAAAATAGTCAATAATGATGATAGAATGTTAAAAATAGGTAGAAATAAAAGTGGTTTATACTTCTACTATCCAAAGAGCATAATTAACTTTTTTTTTTTTTTTTGGTTTTTGGTCATACCTGGCGATGCACAGGGGTTACTCCTGGCTCTGCACTCAGGAGTTACCCCTCGCAATGCTCAGGGGACCATATGGGATCTGGGAATCAAACCCGGGTTGGCCACATGCAAGGCAAACACCCTACCCGCTGTGCTATTATTGTTCCAGCCCCGGCATAATTAACATTTTGCTCTGTTTCTTTCCAGTCTCTTCTGGAAAGGCATTATTTATTTATTTATTTATTTAATGAATCACCATGAGATACAGATATAGACTTACAAACTTCTGTGATTATGTTTCAGTCATACAATGATCGAGTGCCCATACCTCCACCAGTGCCCATTCTCTACCACCAATGTTCTCAGTATCCCACCCCCCACCCCATACCCTCCCCACACCTCTGTGGCAGTCACATTCGCTTTTACTCTCTCTCCTTTTGAGTGTTATGGTTTGCAATACGGGTACTAAGTGGCCATCATATTCGGTCGATAGTCTACTTTCAGCATACATCTCCCATCCTGAACGAGCCATTCAAGCATCATTTACTTGGTGGTCACCTCTCTATCTCAGCTGTAGAAAGTCATTTTTATATGGTTGAGAGTGAAGTAAGTAACAATTTCCTTTTTTGGAGGGAGGCCCATTCTTTGTGGGAGCCGCTGTGCAGGGGATTGAAGCTCCGGCTCCTTCATTCAAGGCATGTACTTCAGTCCTTTAGCTCCCTGACAAAAATCCCCCCTTTTTAATGTAATAGTTGAATGTGTCTTCATTTTGAAAAAATAATTTTAAGCATTTATATCTACAGTTTATCTTTCTTGATTTCTATGTAGTTGTAAACACATTATTTTCCTTTTAATGAGATTTTCCAATTTTAAAAGTTAGTTGAATATTTTTGAACAGAACCTATTTCCCTTCTTTCCAAGTCTTGGGGGAAATAGTTCTTTCCAAGAATGTATCTTTGCATTCTCTTTATCTCATTTTCATTCATCTTTATCTAAACGTCACTTTGTGAGTTTGGGTTCTGGAACCTCGTCTTCTAAACAAGGATCACACTGAAACTTATATCAGCTTTTTATTTTATTTCAGAAACCCTGAACCTGATGAGGACTTTGAGAAAAATAATTCCCGGAAGCGCCCCAGAGATGCTATTCAGAAAGAGGAGGAAGAGATCGAGAGAGACTACCAAGAAAACTGGAAAGCCTCTGGTAGCCGATCATACAGCCCTGATCATAGACAGAAAAAACACAGAAAGCTCACAGAGCTTGAGAGAACTCCCAAAATGTCTCACAGTCAGGAGAGGAGAGAGGAGAGAAAGAGGTGTCACAGAGCTTCACCAGTTTACTCTTCAGATCATGAATCTTCCGATTATGGCCATGTTCAGTCCCCTCCATCGTCTACCAGCCCACAGCAGATGTCTGTGGACCATTACAGATCCCCAGAGCAGGACTCTGAACCCTTTGTTCCGCACCAGAAGACTGGAAAAGGCCACAGTAATGCCTTCCAGGACAGACTGGGAGTCAGTCAGGAACGACACCTGGGTGAGTTCCAGGGAAAAGGGGCTCAGAGTCAGAACAAGGAGCACAAATCTTCCCATAAGGACAAACGGCTGGTAGATGCCAAGGGAGAAGAGAAGTCATCTCTGAGCAGAGAGAAGTCACTGAAGGCCACCTCCAAAGAGGAACACCGGAGACTGCTCTCTGGGGAGGGCACGAAGGAGAAACCACCCTCTAGTGGTGGTAAGAAAGAGAAGGATAAAGACGGCAGCACCAAGAAGCTTTTACCCCCCGTGGAGGTTGCTTCAGACAACCACCTTAAAAAGCCAAAGCACAAAGACTCAGAGAAAGCCAAATCAGACCGAAGCAAGCCAAGTCTCGACAGAGGAGACAGAGGAAAGGGGGCAGGAAACCCGGTGCCTAAGGTAAAAGAGAAGGTCTCTAACAACTTAAAGACTCAAGAACGAAAAGGAAAAACGAAGTCAGGGGGCTCCCTCCCTAAAGGTGAGGACGCAGATATGGATGATGAATTTGAGCAGCCCACCATGTCTTTCGAGTCATACCTCAGCTACGACCAGCCCCGGAAGAAAAAGAAAAAGATTGTGAAAACTTCAGCCTCAGCTCTTGGAGAAAAAGGACTTAAAAAAAATGATGCAAAAAGCACTAGTAAAAACTTGGACTCGGTTCAGAAATTACCTAAGGTGAATGAAAACAAGTCTGAGAAGCTCCAGCCAGCTGGAGGCAGTTCAGCCAAACTGAAAAAGGTAACCCCTTCAGCCCCCCGTGCCTCTGCCCGCTCTGAGCGTCTGGCCTTGCACAGCTCCCTGGACCCGCCCTGTGGCCGCGTTGCTTGGCTTGTTTTGACTGGCCTGTTGAATTTCAGTCTGAAGTAATTTCTAGGCCTTTCCGGCTGCCAGGGGAGGTAGTGCCCACTATACCTTTTCTGAGTTGCCCCGTAGTGCTGGGCCCATCTCTATCTGTTTCCTGACGTAGGTGGTGTCAGGCATGACTGCTGCCCCTCCTCCAGCCTGGATCTACCTATGAAGTTACCTGCCAGTCAACGCTGCTGGGAGCAACTGTAGGAAAGAAAGCGGTGCTTCTAGAAAGGGGCTCTTCAGTCACTGGTCTCTTCTCTGCAGGTCCCCACCGATGTAGTGCCAGTGTTGCCAGACCTCCCATTACCTGTGATACAGGCCAATTACCGTCCTCTTCCTTCCCTCGAATTGATATCTTCCTTCCAACCAAAGCGAAAAGGTAATCTTTTGCATCTTTTTTTTCAAAATGGGGAAAAGAATTTTAAAAAAAACACCTGTTCATGGGGGCCAGAGAGGTAGTACAGCAAGTAAGGCGCTTGCCTTTGTATGCAGCAGACCCAGGTTTGATCCCCGGCACTCTGAGCCCAACCTGAAGTGACCCCTGAGCACAGAGCCAGGAGTAAGCCCCGAGCACAGCCGGGTGTGTCACATAAACAACAAAAATCTTGTTCATGGTGATCCACGGAGATAGCTCAAAGAACTGGCACTCATGCTTTGAATGTAGAGGTCACTGGTTTGAGCCCCAGCATTGCATGGTCCTCCCTGGTACTGCTGGGTGTACCCTGCTGGCCTCTGAGCACTCCAGGGTGGCTTTGGTGGTCCCAGCATCAGTGCACCAAACCATCAAGCCTTTGTGCTGCACTTGGACCACGTAGAGCTGGGAGTGTCCCAGCCTAACTGAGCACTCTTGAGAGTGCTTTTTTGCATCCCCTCCACCCTGAAAAATTATTCATGATCTCTCATTGGATTTTGATGCTTTTCCAAGGAATGCAGACCCTAAAATTTGATGGCTTATGTTTTTGTGGTTTTTTTTTTTTTTTTTTTTTTTGCTTTTCGGGTCACACCTGGCAATGCTCGGGGGTTACTACTGGCTTTGCACTCAGGAATCACTCCTGGCAATGATCAGGGGACCATATGGGATGCTGGGAATTGAACCTGGGTCGGCTGTGTGCAAGATACAAGCCCTACCCGCTGTGCTGTCACTCCAGCTCAATGGCTTATGTTTGAATCCCAACTCTTGCATCCATACACTGTATGAATTTAGGTAATAACTTAATTACCTTGGACTTCACTTTCATACTCTGGAGAAATAATAATATCTGCCTCATAGACCTTTTTCTTTTATCTCTTTTCTTTCTTTTTTTTTTTGGTGGGGGAGGGCAGTACACCTCACAGTGCTCAGGGATTACTTTTGCATCTGTGTTTAGGGATAACTCCTGGTTGTGCTCATGGGATCATTTGTGGTGCCAGGGATCAAACCAGGGTTGACTACATGCAAGGCAAGTGCCTTAACCCCTGTACTATCTCTCTAGCTCCTCATAGACATATTGGATGGATTAAAAGTAATAATTGTTTAGGGGTCGAAGGATTAGTACAACTGGTAGGATGCTTGCCTTGCATGTGACCAACCCGAATTTGATCCCCGGAACCCCATATGGTTCCTGAGCCCCACCAAGGGTAAGCCCTGAGAATTTCCAGGTGTGGCCCCAAAACAAAAATAATGGTTGTGGTAGAGCTCTTAGATCTGGGTTTTCCAATCTGATGGGTGTTCAGTAAATCTTAGGAGCAGCTATTACTAGCAGCTTTTCATTCTATATGTTGTACATGAGTCTTTTTTTAAGATTTATTTATTTATTGCTTTTTGGGTCACACCTGGCAATGCTCAGGGGTTACTCCTGGCTCTGCACACAGGAATTACTCCTGGCGGTGCTCAGGGGACCATATGGGATGCTGGGAATCGAACCCAGGTCGGCTGCGTGCAAGGCAAATGCCCTACCGCTGTGTTATCACTCCAGCCCCAGTACATGAGTCTTTTAAAAAAATTTTTTGGGGGGTAGGGGGCAGTCACACTCAGCATTGCTCAGGCTTACGGTAAGGTAAGCAACCTACTACTGTACTATCGCTACTGCCTGAGTCTTTAAAAAGAATAGGTGGGGTGGGGGTGAGGGTTATGCTCCGTAATGTTCATGGGTTACTCCTGGTTCTGTACTCAGGAATTACTCCCTTTTTTCTTTAGTTTGGTTTTGGGACCATACCCAGTAATGCTCAGGGGTTACTCCTGGCTCTGCACTCAAAAGTTACTCCTAGCAGTGGTTGGTGAACCATGTGGGATAATGGGGATTCAGCTTGGGTTGGCCTCCTACGAGTCAAGCTCCTTACTTACTGGACTATCTCTCCTAAGTCTTTCATTTTTTTGTCATTTAAAATTAATTACTTATTTTTATTTTGAGCCACACTCAGCAGTGATCAGGCTCTGTGTTCAGGAATTACCCTGGCAGTGCTTGGGGGACCATCTGGGGTGCCTGGGATCAAACCTGGGTCAGCCATGTACAAGGCAAAAATGTCTTACCTGCTATACTATTGCTCTAGCCCAGCAAAGTCTTCTATTTTTCATTTTTCTGTTTTGTTTTGTTTTTGAGCCATACCCTATGCTCAGGGTCTATTTTAGCTATCAGCTCAGGGGGCATTGCATGCAAAGTATGCACTCCATCCCTTTGAGCCAGCCGTCAGGCCATCCCTTTGGGCTCAAAAGATAGGATTGCTGATAGGGCATTTGCATTGCACGTGGCTGACGCAGATTTGACTCCCAGCAATCCCCATGGTCTCTCGAATTCTGCCAGGAATAATTCCTGAGTGCAGAGCCAGAATTAACCCCTGAGCATTGCCAGATATGGCCCAAAAGCCAGGAAAAAAGACACATAGCAAACATATTAGGGGGCTGGAGAGATAGTAAGTTCAGGGGTAAAGTATTTACCTTGCATGGGGCCTACCCAGGTTTAATCCCCAGCACCCATATGGTTCCTTGAGTACCACCGGCAAATCAAAACAAACAAAATAACTAGAAACCACATAAGTGCCCCTTTGAAAGATGAACCAATAAACCATGGTTCATACACATGGTGGCATCCTGTGCTTCTCTAAGCATATGGAAAATCTTCGTGTTAAATGAAAACACTGTAGTACTGTCTTTCTATTGTTCATCAGTTCACTCGAGCGGGCACCAGTAACGTCTCCATTGTGAGACTTCTTGTTACTGTTTTTGGCATATTGAATCCATCACGGTTAGCTTGCCAGGCTTTGCCGTGCGGGCGAGATACTCTCGGTAGCTCGCCAGGCTCTCCTAGAGGGGTGGAGGAATTGAACTCGGGTCGGCCTCGTACAAGGCAAACACCCTACCTGCTAGTGTTCTGTTATTAGTTGGTAAAAAGGAAGGCCAGAAAAATTGCTCAAGGGGCACACTCTGCATGCAGGAGACCTGGACTCTATCTGTAGCACTTCCCGGTCCTCTGAGCACTGCTGGAAGCGATCCCAGAGCAGCATGCCAGGAGTAGCCCCTGAGCAGCACCAGGAGAGCCCTGGAGCAAAAAGAATAAAATACTGTTTTCACCCCCATAGATTCTGGAAGGTTATACAAGAAAGTGGGAGCACTGGTTACCTTAGAAAAATATCTGCGCTGAAGAATGGGTGGGAAAGAGTGTTCATCGCACCAAGCCTTTTCTAACATTTGTTCCCATTGTCTTCTCCTGTAGCACTCTCTTCACCCCATGAAGAGGAAGAAGCGGGATTCACTGGACGTAGAATGAATTCTAAGATGCAGGTGTATTCTGGTTCCAAGTGTGCCTATCTCCCCAAAATGATGACCTTGCACCAGCAATGCATCCGGGTACTTAAAAACAACATTGACTGTAAGTCACATGCTTCTCTCTCTTGCTCTCAAGTGGTTGTAGCGCGGAATCTGGATGCTACTCAGCACTTTCCCTTTGGTTCCCCGCAGCGATCTATGAGGTGGGAGGAGTCCCGTATTCTGTCCTTGAACCTGTGCTGCAGAGGTGTACTCCTGATCAGCTGTACCGCATAGAAGAGTACAATCATGTGAGTATCCTGTTTGAGTGGAAATAAAGGGCACTTTTCTGGTTTTGTCTCCATGAATCACTTTGTCTCTGTGAATCTGCCTCATCTCAAGTGTAGGGCAGTTTTCTGATCATTGTTCTGGGTGTTTGGCTGGGAATAGAACCCAGGGCCTCACTCATACAGAGTTGCCTGTTTGCCCTTTTTGTTTGTTTGTTTAGTTTTATTTTGGCTTTTGGACCATACTGAGTGGTACTCAGGTCTTACTCCTGGCTCTGTACTCAGAGATCACTGCTGGCTGGACTCGGAGGGACCATATAGAGAAATAGGGATTGAACCCAGGTTGGCTATGTGCAAGGCAGGAACCCTACCTACTGTCTCTCTCTCCAACCTCTTCCATGCTTTATTCTTTTGGTTTTGGGGCCATAACTGGTGATTCGCAGCACTGCTGGATGATTACTCCTGGCTATATGCTCAGGAATTATTTCTGGTGGTGCTCTGGGGATCATATGGGATTGAACCTGGGTCCATGCCAAGCAAGACAGATTGCCATGTACCATGTACTGTACTATTGCTCTGACCCTTTTCCTTTTTTCCCCCCCCTTCCTCTCTGGTTATTTAAATGTCTTTTTTGTTCAGGTAATACACCAAGCAGTGCTTTTTGACTACTAGTATTTCTGGGCTTGCGGATCCTCCATTGCTACTCAGGACCATGCAGTGTTCAGGATTTAACTGGGGTCAGCCGAACATAAGAGCCTTAAGCACTGTACTTGACTCTCTCTCTCACCCCAAATAGGTGCCTTTCGTCAAGCATAATTTTAGGGTCTGGAGCGATAGTACAGCAAGTAGGGAATTGGGCTTGCATGCAGCTGACCCTGTTTTGATCCCCAGCATCCCATATGGTCGTCCCCTGAGCACCGCCAGGAATAATTCCTGGGTGCAGAGCCAAGAGTAACCCCTGAGCAAACATGCATAATTTTTTTTTTTTTTGGCTTTTTGGGTCACACTTGGCGATGCTCAGGGGTTACTCTTGGCTCTGCACTCAGGAATTATTCCTGGCGGTGCTCAGGGGACCATATGGGATGCTGGGGATCAAACCTGGGTTGGCTACATGCAAGGCAAATGTGCTCCCCGCTGTGCTATCATTCCAGCCCAACATGCGTAATTTTTTAAAAACCTGCTTCAGGCGCCTTGATGTTTTATTGTTTTGGAGAGGGGCTTGAAACTTTTTTGGTTTTGGGTTATACCTGGCAGTTTTCCCAGCATTGCACTAAGGTGAATTCCATAATAGACCCTGTATTCCAGGGGTCAGACCTGGGATTCCCACACACAAAGTATTTGCTCTGTCCTGTATCTCCCAGGCCCTCTGGCTTCTGGCACCTTAACCAGACCCCTTGGGCTAGTATCAAAGTGGGATTTAAAGGGAGCAAAAACAGTTCCTATCCTTCCTTTTGAGATTGTATAGTCATAGAGATAAAGGGAGAATTTGTCAGTCCAGCCCTAGGACATAGGGTGAGGACACTAAGGCATCTGGTGAACACCTGACAGTTTGTGTCTTGGGATACAAGTTGGGGTCTAGAGAGAGAGAGTATAGGTGTTAAGGCACTTGCCTACATGTAGCTGACCCTGATTCGATCCCTGGCAATGCATGTGGTCCCCCAAGAACCGCCAGTAGTAAGTTCTTAGCACCATTGAGTGAGGCCCCAAAACAAAAACAAAAAGCCACATGAGATTGGCTGGGTCTTCTGAAAACAATCAGATCTATTCAAAAATGAATGTGGTAATGTTGGAAAGGTAGCACAGCAGGTAGGGTGTTTGCCTTGCATGTGGCCGACCTGGGTTCAATTTCTCCGTTCCTCACGGAGAGCCCAGCAAGCTACCGAGAGTATCCCATCCGCACTGCAGAGTCTGGCAAGCTCCCTGTGGCATATTCGATATCCCAGAAATAGTAACAAGTATCACAATGGAGACGTTACCGTTGCCCGCTTGAGCAAATTGATGAACAACGGGAGGATGGTGCTACAGGACAGTGAATGTTGGAATATAGTCATTTGATTGTATTACCTGTCTAATTCCAGGGACTGTCACATCACCTCCATTGCAGAACTTTGTACTCTGGGGGAATACTTGGATTTGACTGAGTACCAATTCTGTTCTCTGATTTACTAAAAGAAAAGAATGATCTTGGGGCTGGAGAGATACTTCAGAGGGCTGAGTGCATGCTTTGGCATGAAGAAGGCTGGTTTCGATCCCCAGCACCTCATAGTCTGCTAAACATGGCAAGGAGCAGCCCCCTAACTGATTTCAGCTCAGTGAGGCACTGAGGGATTGTGGGCCCAAACTCACCTCCCAACCCCCCAATGAAAAAAGAAAAGAAAAAGACTGTTAGATTAGTTTTTGTGGTTTTGTATCACCTAAACTCACAACTGCAAAAACAGCTAGTATTTTACTGCACTTTCATCTGTTTTTCTTTTTGGTGCTAACTATCTAACCAAAGACCTTGTATAAGTGTGAAGATATGCTCTAACACTGTGGTGTACTGTCGTAACTTCTTTTTTAGTGTAATGTTTGTTTCTAGAACTTGTATTTTCACTTTCTGCTACTGCAAGGGCCAAAAAAGTATTAGGTTGTCTGGAGAAACAGTACAGGGGTTATCGCGCTGGCCTTATTATAGCCAACCTTGATTCTATCCTCAGCACCGTATGGTCCCTTAAGCATCACCAAATGTGAACCAAACCCATCCCCCCCAATCTTTTTAGGAGACTACTTATTCTCTAGATGATTAAGGATAGGAAAGAACTGTATAAGTTCTGTATCAAAATTATGTTCTGGGACTGAGAGATAGTACAGCAGGGAGAGCACTTGCCTTGCATGCGCCTGTGTTCAATCCCCAGCATCTGACCCCAAGCTCATCGGAATAATTACCTTGAGCAACCCCGGGTGTGACCCAAAAGCCTAAACAAAACAACATAAAAAGTTCTGGGCCAGAGAGTGCAAGAAGTAAAAATACTTGCCTTGCATGCTGCCAACCCCAGTTCAAATCTTGATACCACATACGGTCCCCCGGCCATTGCCACCAATGATCCCTGAGCACAGAGCCAAACGTATGCCCTGAGCATCATGAGGTAGACCCCTCCCCACAAAAAAATAAAGATAAATGAATAAATATCACGTCTCTGTTCCGATCCAGGTGTTAATTGAAGAAACTGATCAGTTATGGAAAATTCACTGTCACCGAGACTTTAAGGAAGAAAGGCCAGAAGAATATGAGTCATGGCGGGAGATGTACCTGCGACTTCAGGATGCTCGGGAGCAGAGGCTACGGTTACTAACAAAGAACATCCAATCTGCACATGCCAACAAGCCTAAAGGTGGGGCAGGGGGTGGGCACGTAAAAGCCTGAGGGATGGGACCTGATGAATAGCCCTGTGGGCTTGGTGGGTTTGACTTGGCAAGGACCTCTCATTCCTAAATCTCTCTGGAGTTTGCATGGAACAGGGTCAGAGGGGATGTTTTTCTTTTGTGGCTCCCACCTGTGCCACCTTTTAACATTATCAAAGCCTTATTAATGATTAATAAGGCCTTATTAATTGGGAAGGCAGATATTAATCTCCATATTTCTTCACAGGTCGACAAGCAAAGATGGCCTTTGTTAACTCTGTGGCTAAGCCGCCCCGCGATGTTCGAAGGAGACAGGAGAAGTTTGGGACAGGAGGAGCAGCTGTGCCTGACAAAGTCAAGTAAGATGGTGCTCCTGCGGTTTCTGTACAGTCAGGGAGAGGACCCCAAGGGCTTGTCTTCAATCCTGAAAGGCAGCTCAGGGGCAGGAAGTGGTTTTGTAGGGGAGGGACGAGAGAAAGGCACTACAGTGTGGTTCTGGTGGTAAACGTTTTTGGGGGGTAGGGGTTTGGGCTACATCTGGTAGTACTCAAGGGGTCACTCCCATTGTGTTCAAGAGACCATGTGGTGCCAGGGATTGAACTAAGCTCTGCCACATAGAGCTTTAAGCCTGGCACTGTCACTTGGCCCCTGATAAATGATCCCTCTAGCGAGAAATTGTTTTTAGTTGTTGTTGTTGTTGTTTTGTTTCTGGTGGTGCTCAGGGCTTATTCTTTGCTCTCTGCTCAGGGAGCACTCTGGCAGGGCTCAGGGAACAACATGAGGTGCCAGAGATAGGATCCAGCTTGGTTGCATGTAAGGCAAGTGCTGTATCCACTGTACTATCTCTCTGGCCCCTGGAGATTTTAACCAGTTTGGAACTTGACTGCCCTCAGCTTCTGCTTTCTTGATTGTAATGTGATTGAGGATTGATTATCCTGCCTCTCAGGAGACTCGAGAGTAAATGGAGAACAAGGACTGGGAAGATAGCTTGAGAAGCTGGAACATAAGAGACCAGTTCAATATGAACCCTTGAGCATCGTCAGAAACAACTCTTACTCACTGTAGGGTGTGGTCCAAAAAACCAAAATAAATAGAAAGATGGCTTGGTTTGTGGGGAAATATTTCCTTATGATTTATCCTCTTTCATTTAAACAAAAAACACAATCTACGATCCTTGAATTATTTAGGTCTTATTTGCATTTAAAAAATTCAAATCTATACCTATATAGTAGCACTGTCCTCCCATTGTTCATCGATTTGCTCGAGCGGGCACCAGTAACATCTCCATTGTGAGACTTGTTACTGTTTTTGGCATATCAAATACGACATGGGGAGCTTGCCAGGCTCTGCCGTGCAGGCGGGATACTCTCAGTAGCTTGCTGGGCTCTCCGAGAGGGACAGAGGAATCTAACCCGTGTCGGCCACATGCAAGGCAAACGTCCTACCCACTGTGCTATCACTCCAGCCATTCATAGCACTGTAGCACTGTCATCCCATTGTTCATCGATTTGCTCGAGCGGGCACCAGTAACATCTCAATTGTGAGATTTGTTACTGTTTTTGGCATATTGAATATGCCACAGGGAGCTTGCCAGGCTCTGCCATGCAAGCGGGATACTCTTGGTAGCTTGCTGGGCTCTTCGAGAGAGACGGAGGAATCAAACCCAGGTCGGCCGCATGCAGGCAAACGCCCTACCTGATGTGCTATTGCTCCAGCCCACCTATATAGTACTTGTTGAAATTATCATTTATTCTGAAGAGCTAAAGCAATCATTTCTTGAATTAAAACCAGAGTCTCAGGTGATGAGCTCCACTGGTAATAGCAGCAAAACTGTATCCTCCTAAGACAGGCCCATCCCAAGCTATTGGTGCTGAAGACAGACCTCTCTGCTCAGACTAAATAGCCTGATTCTCTTTCAGGATTAAGCCTGCTCCATACCCCACAGGAAGCAGCTGTGCACCAGCCAGCAGTGGCAGCAGCAACAATTTTAATGCTAGCCCTGAGGAGACAGTCTATGATGGCCCGAGCACCAGCAGTGCCCACTTGGCACCCATGGTCAGCAACACCGTTTCCTATGATCCCAGGAAACCGACTGTGAAGAGTAAGTAACTGGAGGTTCCCGCTCCATTGTCCAGGGTTATGTGAACCTCTTGACTGGCAACACCCCCACCTTATTTCATGCATTGGAAGCAGCACGTGCATGTGTGTGTATAGCTGGCGTGATACCAGTTCCTGTTTCCCTTGCTCTCTTCATCACGGGCTGACATCTTCGACACAATTGGTGTGACTGTTCATTTCGGCACTCTGCCTTTTTTGTTTGTACTTTTGTTTTGGTTTTGGTGCCACACCTAGTAATGTTCAGGCTTACTCTTGGCACAGTGCTTAGGGATCACTCCTGGCGGTGCTCGGGGGACTATATGGGATGCGGGGGATCAACCCGGGTTAGCCGTGTGCAATGCAAGTGCCCTACCTGCTATATTCTTCTCTCTAGGTCCTTGCCTATTTTTTTTTTTAACTTAAATGTAAACTAGTTTCTCCAGGTAGTTATAGGCAATTCCTAATTGTTATTAATTAAATGATATTTCGTCTTATTGAGGTTTTATAACCATAGCTTCTGAGTAGCCTTTTAAATTAAAAACAGTAGTGGGCTTGAGCAATAGTGCAGTGGGCAGGGCACTTGCCTTGCATTCAGCTGACCTGGGTTCAATCCCCAGCATCCCACATGGTCCCGCAGCACCACCAGGAGTGATTCTTGAGCACTGCTGGGTGTGGATCACACTGACCCGTGCCAAAAACAAGCAAAAATTGGGAGGCTGGAGCAATAAGACAACAGATAGGGCATTTGCCTTGCGTGCCGTGCATAGAGTTTGAAATGGTCCCCCAACCCTCTCCAGGGTTGATCCCTGAGTACAGAGCCAGGAGTAAGCCTTGAGTATTGTTCGTATTGCTGGATGTGCTCCAAAAAAGCGAAGAAAAAAAGAAACATTTTTGTTTTGTTTTGGGGGGTATACCTGGTAGTGCTCAGGTGTTTTCCCAGCTCTTTGCTCAAGGGGTTGGGGTTGGAGGACCAGGAGATGCCAAGGATTAGACCCAGGCCTCCTGCATGCAAAGTATGCACTCAGTCCTTAGCTTCCTGGGGGTTTTAACAGCTATTTTGTTTTGTTTTTCAGTCACAGTTAACAATGATCAGGGGTTAGTCCTGGCTCTGCTCTCAGGAGTTACTCCTGGTGGTGCTCATGGCACCATTTGGGATGCCAGAGATTGAACCCAAGTTGGCTATGTGCAAGACAAGTGCTTCTTATGTCTAAATTGAACAGTTGGGGCCGGAGCTATAGTACAGAGGGAAGGGTGTTTGCCTTGCACATAGCCAACCCAGGTTTGATCCCTGGAATCCCATATGGTCCCCCAAGCACTGCCAGGAATAATTGCTGAGTGCAGAGCCAAGAGCAACCCCTGAGCCAGGTATGAACCCTGCACTTCCTCTCCCCCCCCCCAAAAAAAAATTTGAACACTTACCTTAGACCTGCTATCCTGGTCAGGTGGGGTAGGAGATTCGTGCTGTTTTGGCTATTAGTGAGACAGGGTTCAGTTACTTATGGCTCAGTTTGGCTGTAGAGTCTGGCAAGGATTGAATTCCAGTTCTGTTCCTTAATGTACAATAGGGGCAAGTTGGCTATTCTCTTGAGTCCTGGAGAGGGTGTTGGAATTGGAGAGTAATTACTGTGGACTGGCCTGGGCTCTCCAGTGACCATGAGCCGCATGCTGCTGCTCTGATGGAGTTAACAGACAACTATTGCTTGTGTCTGTGTTTGTCCAAGAGGAGTAAGGCTTGGCTTTGACTGTCAACCACTGGGACTGTGTGTCTAAACTGCCACAAATCTGAAACAACCGACTTATTTTCTTTTCACAGAAATTGCCCCCATGATGGCCAAGACGATTAAAGCTTTCAAGAATAGATTCTCTCGGCGATAAACTGAGGACTTGCCTTGGAGATGCAACTTGGGGGTGGGGGAGGAGTACAAAGTGCCGACTGAGGAATGGAGCTTCCAAAGGAGACCACAATCTCTGACTCGGTGGAACTTCTTGGTCTCCAACTCCACACGGGTTGCAGGTCTTCCCCGGGGACACTGCACCGCAGCCCCTGCCTCCTGCCAGGAGAACACTTCAGAATTCTGGAGCGATGTGAAGCCTCAGGCTCACTGAGGATTTTAAGGTCAATTATACTTTCGTTTTTAATTAGTTTCTTTGTAAACTATAAGATATAGTTTTAATTAATAAATATTGCCCCCAGATTGTATTTATATTACCCCCCAGGTTTTTGTTTTTTGCTTTGTTTTGGTTTGGGGCGGGGGGGATTGGTTTTTATTTTGTTTGTTTTTCTTGATCTCTACCACACAGTTGGCCTTTATTTTCAAGGTTTTTTATTACTAAGATTAGACAGATGCCTAGTGAAAGCCATTTTCCCACCCCAGTTAAACTCTCCCGAGTGGACTCTTGTCCAGGGGGAGGGGTGGGGGTCCCAGGCTGTGTGGTGCCTGCTGCACATGGAGGGAGGCGTGGGGCCTGACCCCCTGTCCGAGAGGGAGTCCAGGGTGGAAGCAAATGTTTCCAGGCTAGACCCTCGCCTCTGGCCCCTGTTCAGTGTTTTGAGTTTCTATGCAGGTGCATCTCTTTCTAACTCATAGTATTTATTAAGGGAGGTTTTTTTGTGAAAGTCTAGAGCAGTGGGATTCAGCTTCTGGTCCAAGAACCAAGTTACCAGTCTTGTGGCATAAACAGGTTGAAAACCACTGTTGTTTCTAGGGTCTTTTCCCAGCCTTTTGGCCAGTTCCCATTTTTTTCTTGATTCTTTCCTTTCTGGCTTTCTAGAAGACACAGAACTTTGGGAGATCAATTTGCACAGAACCCTAATGTTTTAATTATTTCTAGTGTCTGATTCAAAATTTAAGTTGGGGTTTTTGTTGTTGGTTTTTTTGGTTTTTTGGGGTTTTTTTGGTCCCTTCCCTTGCTTTTCCTTCTCACTAATGGGCAGGAAAACAAGCAGATGGCAGGGCTTCTTGTAGTGCCAGAACCCAACTTTAGAGTTTTAAATGCCAGCACTTTAATCTCATTCCTTGTGATTACTACTAGAAGAGAATGGTTTTAAAGTCACAATGCTATGTTGGAAATGGGCTTTCTTTTGCCTTTTCTTTAAAAAGATCATGTGATTGGAAGAGCACAATTTGCTATGTTTCATAGATAACTTTGTAGCTGTAGCTCTCTCTTTTGGGTAGAATTTGGAGGGAAGGGCCAATGTAAGGAAACTGGAGTATCAGATGGGTGGGATCTTCCAAGGCAGGTTTTGGAAGGGAGGGTCTCACTTTCCACTTGACACAGGGGCAAGGTAGGAATTCAGAGGACAGTGTCTGTTCCTTCTTGGCTGTTGAAACCCATCTTGTAGGCACAACCCACTTGGCTGTGACCCCCATGGGGATAGATGTTATATTTTTAGGTGTTCATCCTTAAGAAACCAGAGAAGCAGACTGAGGGATGATTAGTGTGACCACCTGGGTCGCTTAGCAGGCAGTTACCTCAGCAAGCTTGCTCAGGGTCCTGTATGTGGAACCCATTGTTTTTAACTATCCTGGCGACCGTGGGTCACCTTTGGAGAGTCCAGCGTCACAGGGAGTCTGTACAGCAAACACAAAGATTGCATTGTTTGGCTGGTTGCTGTACGGGGTTCCCACTGGCAGGACACAATATCACGGTGTTTAATTTGCTGTACTTTTTAATTGGGTAAAGCATTATTTCTCCTAATTACTTACCATTCCACTCCTATCCTCTAGCCTGCTCCCCAAGTCTGATATTCGGAAGCTGCTCACTTAAACCCGAATTAACATTCTGGGTCAGATGTCTGACATCTGTTGTCTAGAATAGCTTCCTCGCAGTGTTCAGCACTTTGAATTTGTCTCTTAGCTATGTATTCAGATCTCTGTCATTGAAACCAGTTTTTCGTATTTCAGATTCAGCTGTGTATGATGTAATTTCCTTTACTAAGTAAGGACTCTTTAGACAAGGAGGGAAGAAAGGACACACACTTGCTCATCCCAACATCACTACCCACTTCGGGCACATAAGGATTTTTTTATTACCCCTGTTTACGTAGAGCCAGATCTTTCTACCCTTCCCCCTCCCAGAGTGTCTGCATCAGGGATGTGACTTGGTGAGAAGACTGAGGAGGAGAGGAAAACTTGAATTTCTAAACAACCTCCTCGTCCGGGTTATTGACATAGCTGCAGAGCAGACACAGGATGATGTTGAACCTTTGGTCTCATTTGTGGAAACGTGTGCAATTTTTCTTCTGTGCTACACTACATACAAATCACCAAATTACAAATTAACCCTTTGTTATCCCGTGGTGTAACGAGCAATTTCTCTGGGGCTTTCTCTTTCCGGGAAATGGGAGGGAAAGGAGCAAGGTATCAGCCTGCTCTTTATTTGTATTTTGGTCCCAAAATGTAAATACAATTTTCTATGTTACTTTTTTGTGGTAACTACCAAGATGAATATTTTAATTAGATAAGTTATATGAAAAGGAAGGAAATTTCCTTGTCTAAATAAAAAAAGACACACACCAAAAAGAAAAAAAGCCCATACTACTGTCTTTATTACTGTGTCAGAGAATGGAAGTTGGTCTCAAAAATACCTGGTATCTGGACTTTGAGTAGAGAGTGTTAATCCTCGGTGTGGGACATCAAGTCTGTTGTATTGGGAACAGGGAAAGCTCAGCAGACAAGAGCACATGGTGGGCAGAAAGCCTCAGCACCACATGGACTCCTGAGCACAGAGCTGGTAGTAGCACGGCTCCTGAGCACTACTGTGTACCACCTACCCTCCCACAAATACACCCACAAAAATGTATTTCTGTGTGCAGCACAATAGGACGGCCAAGGGAAATACAGGAGGATAAAGAATTGTTGTGACTCACGTACGTAGTCTTCGTTATCACAGCGATCGTGTAGGTAGTCATGGCTAATTTTAAAAAGTAGGAACAGCAGCAAAGGGGCCGGGGAGATCGTTCAGTGTATAGGGCACTTGTCTTGCACACGACCAACCTGGGATTGGTCCCTGGCACTCCAGATGGTGCACAGAGTAGAGCCAGGAGGAACCTTGGGCACTGCTGGGTGTAAACCAAAACCAAAAATTTGATGGCACTCACATTACATGTCCATTGTGGATGTGATGGGGGTGCTGCCCTCTGTCATCCTCAGGAACCCTGGGCAAGGAAACTGCTATCCGTGTGTTATTTTCAAGCAGGTGAAGAGTATTACACTGGGTGGGAGGGTAAGTGGTTAAAGTGCTTGCCTTCATCCCACAACTGCGTATGTCCCATAAGTGCCACCAGGGGTCACTCCTGAGTACAGAACCAGGAGTAACCTCCAGGCACCTGGGTGTGATTATCCCCTCCCCGTCACCAAAGAATATCACACTGGCCCCTAAGCTATTTGCATAAATGGCCCCTGTCATTTCTTTTTTGGGTTACAGCCAGCAATGTTCAGGGAGATAGTACAGTGGGTGGGGTGCTTGCCTTGCCCATTCCTTACAGTGTTCTGGGGGCCGGGGATCAAATCCGGGTGAGCCGCTTGCAAGACAAATGCCCTACCTGTTGTACTATTGCTCCAGCCCTGCCCCTGTCATTTCTATCAGATTTCATTGGCTGCACCTAAACTCAAGGAGACAGGCAAGTATAATCCATCCATAGGCCTGAAAGCAGAGACCTAGAAATGTAGCATCAAAGACCCTTAGGGCAACCCCAACAGCTAAGACCACCCGTTTCAATCCCTCACTTCTATCTGTGTGCTCTGTGCACCCCTGAATATGTCACTTAACCTCTCTCTGTTTCAACTTCCTCCTCCAAAATTAAGTATCAACCTTGCAAAGCTTTCTATTATGATTTAATAAGCTAAAATATAGAATAGTGCATGGTACCTAGAAAGAGTTTAGGACAGATGATGAGTTAGGTATCCTGTGAAGATTTAAAAGATAAAGAAATGGGGCCAGGGAGATAGTACAATGGGTAGGGTGCTTGCCTTGTCCATGGCTGACCTGGGTTCAAACCTCTGAGGCACCTTGTATAGTTCCCTGAGCCCACCAGGCACTGAGTGAAAAGCCAGGAGTAAGTCCTGAGCACTGCTGGGTGTGGCTGAAAAAAAATTTTATAATTCTTGAGCTACAGAAACATTTGCAGATGAGCCTGGAAGTTGAGAAAGGAAAAAATGCGGAGACTCTCCCTACCAAATCCAGGGTAGCTCAAGAAATCATTGAGAAATCCCATTTATATCCCAGCAGTAAAGATGTGCAAGAGAAGGAAGAGGCATTCTTCCCAAATCAGACCTAAGCCTTCGCGGAGGGCTGGTCCTTGAAGTTCAACCCCATAGCAAATGCAATTTCCCATCCTACCAGAAGGGGGCGAAGAGCAGAAGTCCTGCTCTCAGCAAGACACCGGATCTAGTTAAACTCTTTCCTCAAAACAGACACTTAACATGCTTTTTCCCCCTCTCAAAATAGTTCAAACATTTTTACGGATTATCTAATATTACCCTTATAATGAAAATCTAAAATGGATGGTATTGGATTAGGGAGAGTACCAGCCTTGCATGTGTGAGGCTGAGTTCCAACCCCATTAGCAATCCCCTTCCCCAACACACACAGGTGCTATCATTCCCCATTCCAGATTTAGAGATATAGATACAGATATATTGGTATATATAGATTCTATCTCCTTTTACCCTCGCCTGTACATAGTGCCCTCATATTTTGTGAAACCTAGATTCACTACATAATTGGCATTGTTCAACTTCTCTGGACAAATCCTGAGATTGTGATTCCTGTCTTGTTCCTCTTGAGTCATTTGCTCTGGTAAGTTACCTAGCTACCACATTGCAAAGAGATTCAAGTAGACTATGGAAAGATCCATGTGGCAGGAACTGAACGTCTTCTGCCACAGTCTGAATAAACCTGCCAGTGAGGTGGGGAAGCCGTCTTGGAGGAGAATCTTATAGCTCCATTCCAACCTTCTAAAGATTCTAGGCCCACAAGAGAGCCAGAATCACTAGCTAAGGCACCCCAGATTCCTGACTCAAAAACTGAGTATAAGTTAGGGATTATCTTAAGTTTGGAAGCAATTTGTTACACAATGGAAAGTAGCTAATAAAGGTATATTGGGCAGAGGGGGTGGGAAGGGTCACAGTATTTTGTAATTTTTTTCAATCAAAAAGCAAAGTCTTAACTTTCATCTCTCCATTTGGACTTGACCATGAAATTATTTTTGGCTGACGGGACTCTGACAAAACTTATAGAAGATGAGGGTTAAAAAGTGCCTGTGAACTGAGTCTCAGTTGGGGCACCCCAGAAGGGGGTGGGTGAGCCCAGCACCAGCCAAAGCAGAGCCTCAGCAGCCAAAAACCTCCAGAACCCAATTGCTGCCATGCTCACTGCCATTTCCACAGGCTCAGGACAAGCCTCACGCATGAGAGTGAATCTGCTGAAAAACTCAGGAATGCGGATTTTGTGACTGAAATCTCCAGGTTCTCACAGAGTTGGGGATGGGCAACCTCCCCCCATCTCCATGTTCTTCCGGGAGCTGGCAGTCATACCCACTATCTGCCTCTGGTGCCGTATAAACTCATTAACAGCCATAATCCAGAAACTCAGAAATAAATCTCAGAAGAGCAATAAGTTGCAGAGATGCTTCCAGACCCCAAAGTCACCATTCAGTCATAAATTTGACTTCAACTTTATTACCCTATTTAACTTTTAGAATTCCTGGAGCATTTGCAGCCATGCAACATCTCATATTTTACACAACTGATGTATCAAGAGTAGCACACCACATTTGATGGGTTATAAAGCAGAAGGCAACTGATTTTGATTATATATATATATATATATATATATATATATTAGCACACAAGGCTCAACCTGTAACAACATGTTAACATTGTCTTATACAACATATACAACAGCTTAATGGCTCCAGGGTAAGATAGAGCAATCTTCACACTCTTTCCTCTAAAAAAACTTTTTGGGATCATTTTTAGCAGATTATTCATAACAATACAAAATAAGTTATTTAGGGTCTGCATTTGGGGCAGGCCTGGGTGGTGGGAAAATTCAAATTAAGGGTGGTGGAAAGGTGTAATGGTGGGATTGATGTTGGAATTTTGAATTACTATTTGTAATAAATTATTGTGAACAACTTTATAAAAATAAAATTAAATAAAAAGATAGGTATTTTATTACCTAAAACAAAGTGCCTATGGAGGGGTTAGAGTACTGTGGGTAGGGCATTTGCCTTGCATGCAGCTGACCCGAATCTGATCCCCAGCATCCCATATGGTTCCCTGAACCCCACAAGAAGTGATCCCTGAGCGCAGAGACAGCAGTTAGCTCTGAGCAGCACCATGTGTAGCCCCAAGCCAGATTTTAAAAAAACAAAAAAGAGTGCTTGTGGGTTTGGCCCAGGACATGGCTCTATAGTCAAGTGCATGCTTTGCATGCATGAGACCTGTGTTCAATCCCTGACACAGCAAAAAATAAATGAAGCATGAGTCCATATATATATATATAATATATATATATATATATATCTCAAAGGGATGGAGTGCATATCCGGCTTGCATCGGGTCCCCGGTTCAATACCCAGCACACATGGTCATGGGCACCACCAGGTGTAGCACCTCTGGGAAGGTCCCCCCCCACCCAAAACCAAACCAAACCAGAACAAAAAAGAAAAGTGCTTGTGCAATTGGATCTTCCCCCTCTTGCTCCTGTAGCTGTGCAGCTACCACTCTAAGTTCAGGTAATGTGGAAGACCTGTGTTCCTGTCATTTCAGTCGTTCAACCAAACACATGAGCGCTGAGGCCATGACAAACATCAGCCCCCACCAAACTGGTCAAGAAGAGGAGTGGCCAGCATGCTATAGAATTGTGGGGAATAACAAAGGCCTGATGTTTAGAGCTTTGACCTCTGAGCAGAGGGTCCACTGTTATGGGGGCCACCCAACAGCACTTGGCGGGATGGGGGCACGCAGTGCTTGGCATGTGTGCTACCATTTAAACAATATACTCAGCACCAGGAAGTTTCAGTTTGGAGATGATTTATTATACAGCATAGATTAGTTGATACAACATATTAACTTCATACGTACCATTTATTTCAGAAAATTGGGATGTGCTCAAAACTTGGTTGCTTACTTCCAAGCTTCATCTGATCTTGGGCAACTTCATTCACTTCCTTTGGTCTCCATTTTCCTCATCTTCAATTGGAGGAAACACAAGAAGTAATGGAGATGAACTACGTAACACAAAGATGCCTGATAAAAATTACAGAAAAGAAGCCAAAAAATGCGGCGGGTTTCCTGGCTAAGTCTTATGTTAGTAACCAGAGATAGAGTAGAAAGGTTAGTTAAGGCATCTGTCTTGGCGTGTGACCATCCCTGGTTTGATCCCTGGTACTGCATATGGTCCTCTGGGTACCACTAGGGATCACTCCTGAACATAGAACAAGAAATGACTCTTGAGCAACTCCTGGTATAGCTCCAGCATGCCCCTCCAGTCCCCCCAACCCCACTACACACCAAAAATAATAATAATAATAATAATTTAAAAACCAATGTTAGTCCCATAGTGGGTCACAGTCTTCCCAAAGTAAGACTACTGTGTATATCATTCAATCAAACACTAAGCACTTACCACCTGCTAAGCCCTTGTCTGAAGCTAAGATCAAAAGTAGAAATAATGCATTACATTGAGTTATTTTGAATGAGCACCATAGTATACTTCTGTAATTCACTAAGAATTAAATGAGGAGGCTAGGGAGATGATACAAAGAACTGGAACGCATGCTCGAGCCCCTGCTTCCATCCCTGACACTCTTGGTTTCCCCTCAAAACCAGAAGTAGCCCCCAAGTACCACTTGAGGTGTGACGCCAAAACAAAAATATAAGAATCAAACAGGTTGGTAAGATAGCTCAACAAACTGGGTGCACGCTTTGCATGCAGGAGATCTGTGTTTAAATCCCACATTGTATATACTCCCAAATTGCCAGGAATGACCACTGTGGTTGTTGCCCCAAAACAAGAAGATTTAAACAAGGGACCAGAGTGATAGTACAGCGGGTAAGGTGCTTGCCTTGTGTGCACCACATATGGTCCTCTGAGACCCGCCAAGAATAATTCCAAGTACAAAGCCAGGAGTAAGCCCTGAGCACTGCCAGGTGTGGCCAAATATTAAAAAAAATAATAATAATTGAGTTATAATATTAAAATACTAACAAATGGATTTTTTGTATTTTACCCATTCTTGTCTAGGTACCATAACTATATAGACTGTCTTTCTTCCTCCCCACCAAGAGGAATGCATTCTACCCTGAAAATGAAATCAACTTTAACTTTCCGTTCTTTTGACCTCATCCTACAATATGAAAATCATTTTACATTACACCTGAGTACACAACCCAAATGTGAAATAAAAGTTCCATAAATTTAATCTTAAGTGTGTTATATTTTTTTTGTTTGAGACATTTTATTTCAAAAACAGCATTTTCTGCTTTGAAAACAACATGATATTCTCATTTTTTTTCAAAACTGCCCAAGCTGACAGCAATTTAGAAAAGAAGTGTGATCTTTTAAAAATTATTTTCTGGGGGCGAGAGCAATAGCACAGCGGGTAGGGCTTTTGTCTTGCACTTGGCCAACCCGTGTTCGATTCCAGTATCCCATATGGTCCCCTGAGCACCACCAGGAGTAATTCCTGAGTGCAGAGCCAGGAATAACCCCTGTGCATCGCCAGGTGTGATCCGCCCCCCCCCCCAAATATTTTCTTCTATTTTTGGAGCCAGAGAAAATTCTATAACTGGATTTAAAGATCTATTGATAGAGGATCCAGAGCAATAGTACAACCAAGTAGGACGCTGACCTGGGTTCAATCCCCGGTATCCCACATGGTCCCCCAAGCACCACCAGGAGTAGTTTCTGAGTGCAGAGTCAAGAGTAATCCCTCATCACTGCCAGGTGTAGCCCCAAAACAAAACAAAAAAAATCTACTAATGGGGACTAGAGAGATAGTACAAAGAGTGAGGTGCTTGTCTTGCATGTAGCTGACCTGGGTTTGATCTCTGGCACTCTATATAGTCCCCAGAATCCCAGCAGTAGTGACACCTGAGCACAGAACCAGGAGTAAGCCCTGAACACTAAGGGGGTGGCTCCCCAAAACCAATTAATATGGCTAAAGTGAATGTCTCACATGCACATGTCTGGTTTGCCTTGCATGTGGCTGACCCAATTCAACCCCTGGCATTCCATATGATTTCTTCAAGTCTACCAGGAGTAATTCCTGAGTGCAGAGTCAGGAGTAACCCCTAAGTATCTCTGGGTTTGTCCCCAAAACAAAACAAATCAATGCCCTTTGAAAAAATTACTCTGGATTATCCGGCTGGAGCGATAGCACAGTGGTAGGGCATTTGCCTTGCACGCAGTCAACCTGGCCGACCTGAGTTCGATTCCTCCGCCCCTCGTAGAGCCCAGTACTGAGAGTATCTCGCCCACCCTGAAGTATTTGATATGCCAAACACACTAACAACAAAGTCTCCAGTGGAGACATTACTGGGCCCACTCGAGCAAATCGATGAACAATGGGAGAACAGTGACAGTGACTCTGGATTATCACATAGAGCAGGGACTTAGGGGTCTTCTACTCCATTTCTTTACAGAAGGTAATCGGACTTGAGAGAGGTTAATCACTTGTCTAAGGCCACACAGCTAGTAAGAGACAGTGCTTGGACTTGGGCCATAAACTGACTCAGCTATTGAATTCTTACCACAACTCAACCTGTGTTGAGTTCTTTTCGTTGGTATTTGGTTGTTGTTGGTTTTATATTTTGTTTTGTTTGGCGGGGCAACCCCCAGTGGTGCCCAGGGGTGGCTCCTGGTGGTACTAGGAGGCCCAGGAGGTGCTGGAGGTGGAACCTGGGCCTCCTGCATGCACTCCAGTCCTTTGAACTTTTCTCCAGTCCTGTGTTGAGTTGTTCTTAAAGTGCATTACATCATTTAATATTTACTGCGATCCTATGAAACATATCATTCCCACTTTTCAGACCCGGAAGCAAAGTCTCAGAATTGGGGAAAATGACTTTTTCAGAGTGCCACACCGTCAACGGCCGGCACAGAACTCGTCTCCCAGAAGGTGGTGCTCTGGGCCTCTCATCCGAAGTCAAGAAAGTGGTGGTGAAAGCCGGTGGGCGAGCGCGGAGCGCCGAAGCGTGCACCTGTGAGCCGCGATAACGCGGCCCTCCTCGCTCCCAGGACCTTATCACCATCCCCAACGCCACCCCCGCCACCCCCAGACACTAGAATGTGCAGCTTTTCTCGCTCGCTTGCTCGATTCTACGTGAAGCGGGGAGTGCAACAGCGTCGGACGCCGGCGCGGAGCCAGCCTGGGGAACCTGGCACCTGCCCGTCAAACGCCTCCCGCCGGGCCCCGCCCCCTGCCTTTCCGGCGCACGCGCCGCGTCAGGGCGCCTTTTACGACGCGGCGGCCGGGAGCGCTTGGCGGCCGGAGCGGGCGAAGTGCGGCGCGGGCAGCGGCTGCGGCAGCGGCGGCGGCGGCGGCGGCGGGCCGAGGGCTCCGGCGGGCGGCGGCGCCATGTCGCACGGCCACAGTCACGGCGGGGGCGGCTGTCGCTGCGCCGCCGAGCGGGAGGAGCCGCCCGAGCAGCGCGGCCTGGCCTACGGCCTGTACCTGCGCATCGACCTGGACCGGCTGCAGTGCCTGAACGAGAGCCTCGAGGGCAGCGGGCGCGGCGTCTTCAAGCCGTGGGAGGAGCGGACCGACCGCTCCAAGGTGGGCCTCTGCGGGCCTGGGGCGGGCGGCGCTCTCGGCGCCTCCCCGGAGCTCAGGGGGCACAGTCCGACGGGCCACGCGGCCCCCCGTGCCCTTCCCCGGCCGGTTCTCTGGGAGGCGAACGAGGTCGTGCGTCCCCCGTTTTGCAGATGGAGGAACCGAGAGGCCCGGCCAGGGAAACGGGGGTCTTTGGCGATTCACTTATGCCAACGCTGGGCTCCGGGGCTGCGGGGAGTGGCGGGAGCATGGTGAAGGAGCGAGGCCGGGGGGCGTTCTCCCGGCCGCCGGACCCCGTATCCTGATCGTCTCACCTGTTGAAGACCGCGGGTGGTGGAGAGAGGCCAGGGAGAAGCTGCTAGTTATTCTGTCCGGAGCACTCACCACTGTGGCTCCAGAGTCATTTGGAAAGCAGAGGGCGGGTCGCTGGCCTTGCACGCTTGCTTGCGACCAGGCTTGATCTCCCGCACTCCTTAATGATCCCCGAGCCCCATCAGGACTGATCCCTGAGCACAGCTGGGTGTGGCCTTCCCAAAACAAACAAACAAACAAACGGAGGTTGATCTTTGCACACAGTTTCACAAGGCTGGTCGGCCCTGGAAATGCCTTCTTGGGCACCCTATTAAGAACCCTCGGATTGGGTGGTGTGTGGTCATTAATTTAATAACCTCCAGTGACTCAGCCCTGGAAAGCCCAAGGAGGTTGGACTGCATTGTACTCGAGTCCTCAGACAGGATGGGAGATGCAGGGAAAATTGTAGCCTCTTAGCAAACATCTGTTATTCTCTCCTCCCCCTTCCCCACCCCCTCCAGTTTGTTGAAAGTGATGCAGATGAAGAGCTTCTGTTTAATATTCCGTAAGTATCTCCTTGGTGCTTGCCTCCGGCTCAATAGGCTGTACTCAGTTGACTTACGAGGAACCCCTCATTCATTGGTTGTTTCCAGCAATGGGGTACATCAAGGGCGGTGGGTTTAAAGAAGGTATCTTGGCTTTCTTGGTGCAGACTGAGAAGAAAGAAATTGTTGAATTTTAGTTGTTGAAAGATAACTTGCAAAGTCATAGTACTGTAGAGTTCCAGGAGTCGAGAGATAATATAGAGTCAACCTGGCTTAGATGCCCCCCTCCCCAGCTCCTCCAGGATTGATCCCAGAGCACATAGCCAGGAGTAAGCCCAGGCTTAGAAAGGGGCAGGAAGAAGCCCTGAACACCACAGGAGCACCACCAAACAAACAAACAAAAAAAAACAGCAAAAAAGGAAATGTAGAATTCCAGTTGTCTATTTCCATTTCCATTTAGAAATGATCTAGATGACCCAAACGACTAGAGCACATGTTTAGCATGATGGAGCAACAGGTTGGATTCTCGGCTCCTCCATTAGCCTCTCAGCACCACCCTCTGTGGCCCAAAACACAAAGGGGAAAAAAATTATCAAGTACAAGTCTGACAGATGAATATAAAGTCCAGAAAGGAGAGGGGTCTTGCCCAGCATTACTAACTAAACAGATGTTCAACCCAGGTTGACAATCTTCTTTGCGTTCTGGCAGATTTACAGGCAATGTCAAGCTCAAGGGCATCATTATCATGGGAGAGGATGATGACTCACACCCCTCCGAGATGAGACTGTAAGTGGCAAGGCCTTATGCCCTCAAGAAACTTCTAGTTCTCTTTCTTATCTCTGGTAGCATTTTATACAGAAGACAAGTTTTGTTTGGGTTAAATTATCCCCCACTCTCACTTCCTTTAAAAAAAAAATACCAGGGCTGGAGCAATAGCATAGCAGGTAGGGTGTTTGCCTTGTACGCATCCGGCCCAGGTTCGATTCTCAGCATCCCATATGGTCGCCCGAGCACTGCCAGGAGTAATTCCTGAGTGAAAGAGCCAGGAGTAACTCCTGTGCATCGCTGGGTGTGACCCCCCCCCCCCCCAAAAAAAATACCTTGGTCTGGGGCAGGAACTATAGTACAATGGGTAAGGGACTGCCTTCTCCACAGCCAACCCAGGTTCAATTGCTGGCACCCCGTATGATCCCCTGAGACCCTCCAGGAATGATCCCGAGCTCAGAGCCAGGAGTAAGCCCTGAACATTCTTAGATGTGCCCCTTGAAATCCCCCCCCCCCCATATTGGTCTGTTCTTTCTTCGACACTTGCTCCTGAGTTTTAAGATTAAGTACCTTTAAACCTAATAGCATTTCTCTTTTCAAAGTACTTAAGGCACCTTAATTCAGAAAGCATCCTCTAAATGTCACTTTGATGACTGCAGTTTTCTTGAGAACCCAGCTATAGATCGCAAATGATTATTATAAATTCTACTGTTGAGATTAGCGTCAAATTTTCCCCTTGCTGTTTTGTACAGCCAAAATCAGTGTGTTTGTGTGTGGTTGTGTTGTTGACATGAACTCCTTCATCTGAATTTGCTTGTCCTTTAGATAGCAAAGTTGTTATACCACTTACATCACTGAGTTGATGAGGGGGAAAAATATCCTTGCTGGTGTAAAACAAAACGTTATATCATTGATGTGATTTTTAGACCAGGTTTGATTTATGTCATTTTTCTTTTTTTTTTTAATGAAAAATTTTTTAATAGTGAGACATCATGAGGTACAGTTGCAGACTTCCACATTTTTGTGCTCGGGTTTCAATTATACAATGATCAATTACCCATCCCTCCACCAGTGCCCATTTCCCACCACCACGGATCCCAGTATCCCTCCCACCCACCCACCCCCATCCCACCCTGCCTCTGTGGCAGGGCATTCCCGTTTGTTCTCTCTCTCTTATTGGGTGTTGTGGTTTGCAAAAGAGGCAATGGGTGACAATCATGTTTAGTCTATAGTCTACCTTCCGCATGTCATTTTTCTTAAAGTCAGAATTTCCAGGAACCTTCCTTGCCTGTGTGAGGCCCTGGGTTCAAACCCTAGAAATGCAAAAAATAAAAATCACAGTGCTGGGGCTGGAGCAATAGCACAGCGGGTAGGGCGTTTGCCTTGCACGAGGCCAACCTGGGTTTGATTCCCAGCATCCTATATGGTGCCCTGAGCACCGCCAGGAGTGATTCCTGAGTGCAGAACCAGGAATAATGCCTGAGCATCGCTAGGTGTGACCCAAGAAGGAAAAAAAAAAAAAAACAATGCTGGGACATGGCTCAAAAGGACTGGAGCAGATGATTTAGATACCAAGTTTTGGGTTTGGTTTGGGGCCATGTCTGGTGAAGTGGGTGTGTTGCTCTTGGCTCTGCACTCAGGAATTACTCCTGGCAGTGCTTGGGGGACCATATGGGATGCTGGGATTGAACCTGGGTTGCGTTAGCTGTGTGCAAGGCAAATAAATAGCTCTGGCCCCTGCACACCAGGTTTGATCTCTTGGCACAGTCTGATTCTCCAAGCACCGTCTGCTGTGATCTAAAAAGGGAAAGCAATTAAAATTGCAGCCATTCACATGAAGTAGGATAGATATACAAAATTGGCAAAATGGTATTATTAATAATCTCCACATCAACTGTATTGGATACGTGCTATCACTATGCTTGCTTTACAGATAAGGAAATTGAGGCACAGCTGATAAGTGGCAGGGTCAGGCTTTAAACCTAGAAAGTCTGGACTTCAGACACACTTTTTAACTAGAGTGCTACACTGCCTCTCGTAATGCTTCTCATAAATGTTCACCATTATTATTCTTTTGTGCATCACTTGTAGAAACCCTTTGAAGCAAACATTTGCCTTCTTAAATTATATGCATTTTGCTGCAGCTAGTATCTTGGTGCCTCCTGTGTGGGTGTCTTAATAAAACAGCCCAGAGATGGTGTGGTGTCAGGCTCAGTTCTTTAAGAATTCGTGAATTAAAGAGAAGACAGCTAAGCTGTTCCCAGTTGTTTCACTTTTTTCTTTGAAATATTTTTTTCCTCATTAGTAGTTTTATTTGACTTTCCAAGTCTCTTAAACCTTTTATGTCTTTTTCCAAAAAAGAAATACCTAAAATTTGTATATATATGTATTTTTTATCTTAAATATATTGTAAAAAAACTTTTTTAAACACCTTTTCCACTTCGTGGAAGCTGTGCCCTCCCTTGAGCACACATCTTTACCGCTCTCTCCTTCCTTCCCTTTACTGTAAAAAAAGAAAAACAATTTTAAAAATTGGGACTAGAGAAATAGTATAGTGGGTAGAGCGCTTGCCTTGCACGTGGCTGATCTGAATTTGATCCCTGCCATCCCATATGTTCCCCTAAGCACTGCACCTAAGCACCAGGAGTGATTTCTGAGTGCAGAGCCCTGATACCTCTGAGCATTGCTGAGTTTGGTCCCAAAACAAATCAGAAAAATAAAAAAGAATTGTAAGATGATTCAATATACAAGGTAATTTTGAATGCAAAAAATATATTTGAGTGATAGTTACCTGATCTTATCTTTTAGCTGTGTTTATTATATTTCTGCCAAATTAATTTTTCCCTTTGAGTAAGCTGTTTTACTCAGCATCCTCAGCTTAGTATAAATGTGCTGAATTGCTTTCCTTCTTATGTGCTGCATGTGACCTAGTTTGACCCTTCCCTTTGTGTGTTGCTTTTCATGTGATCTTAACTCACTCAGATTTGACTAAATATTTGTGTATACATGGCAGCAAAAGGTCATTTCCAAAATTTGATCTACTTCTTGATAGAATTTAAAGGAGATGAGTTACTAGGAAGTTTAGAAAAACTGGGAACTGTAATAATGTACTTTTTTTTTTCTTTTTGAGTCACACCTGAGGTGCTCAGGGGTTTTTCCTGACTCTGCACTCAGGAATTACCTCTGGTGGTGCTTGGGGGACCAGATGGGATGCTGGGGATTGAACCCAGGTAGACCGCATGCAAGACAAATGCCCTACCCACTGTACTATTGCTCCAGCTCTAATGAACATTTCTTTCCTTTTGAAGGTACAAGAACATTCCACAGATGTCCTTTGATGATACTGACAGGGAGCCAGATCAGACTTTCAGTCTGAACAGGGATCTTACAGGAGAATTAGAGTATGCTACAAAGTAAGTACTGGACCTCCACTCCTGAGGAACAGCTGGCACTTTTTCATTTGCAGTCAACAGATCTGCATTAGTGTTTACCAGCCTCATAATTTAGTTTTGGCCCATTTCTATTAGCATCAGAAACAAGTTAAAATATTGGAGGAGACTTGATACTTGGCTTGATCAATTTTTTGGCGGAGCTTGGGGCAAACGTAAAAACGCTAACTTGGAATTTGGCAGATCTGGATGAATGACTGTGGTGGTTTCTGGAAAGAGGTTTTCATAATAACTTTTGTCATAGTGATCTTGCAGTAGGCCAAATTAATGTTCCCACCTTCTCTCTTCACTATTTCTTTTTCCTATGGATAGAGTGGCATACTTTAGCATTCCAGCATGGTCGTAGAGCATTTCTTATTCCAGTTTCTTAAGGGCAGAAGTATTATTGGGTTTGTTTTGTTTTGTTTTGTTTTTGGACCACACCTGGCTTACTCCTGACTCTACACTCAGGAGTCACTCCTGGCAGTGTGCAGGGGACTACATGGGATGCTGTAGATAAAGGGTGTGAGCTAGGCAAGTGTCCTACCTACTGTACTATTTTTCTGACCCAGGGCGAAAGCTTTCTTGATTCATTTTTCTGTCCCACCTTGTGCAGAATCTTGCAGATGCTTGATATTTATGAATTAATTGCTTGTCCAAGAATAAGACCAAAAGAACCCCGGGTGTCCTTAGTCAATGTTTGCCTGGAATTTCTACAAATTGTGCCGAAACTTTTGGACCACACCCTGTGATGCTCAAGGGTTAATCCTGGCTCTCTGCACAGGAATTACTCCTGGCAGTTCTTGGGTGACCCTATGGGATGCCCAGGATCGAACCTGGGACAGCCACATGCAGGACAAACACCCTACCTACTGTATGATCTCTTAGTAGGGTGGTGAGATACTCATTAAATTCTAACATATTCTCTCCCCACACTTTTCATCTTCTAGGATTTCTCGTTTTTCAAATGTCTATCATCTCTCAATTCATATTTCAAAAAACTTTGGAGCAGATACCACAAAAGTCTTTTATATTGGCCTGAGAGGAGAATGGACTGAGGTAAGATAAGGTCGGAAATTGCCTCCCCAATATATGTGTGTATATCTTTGCATACTGCAGTGGTACAAGATTAAGGAAAGGAGCAAGTGAGGCATTGATTTCTTCTGGTTTATGTATTATTTTTCTTGATTTCATCACTCCTAAGTGATTTCATTTGACCTATGGTATTCTAAAGGTAGTTGAAACTATAATTGATACTAGCTTTTTTCATTTTATTATTATTTTTTTAATTTGGTGCTTAGGGATCATTACTAGCAGTGCCCAAAGAACTGTATGCAGTGCTAGGGATGTAACTAGGGTTAGCCACATTCAAGGCAAGTGTCTTACCCTGTGCTGTGCACTCTAATATTTTCCACTTTAAACCAAACCTCCTTGCTGGGGTTGGGGAGATAGTTCAAAGGGCTGGTTCACATTTTGCATGTAGGAGGCTTAGGTTCAATCTTTCACACTGTACGGTCCACTGAATATCAAAAACAACCTCCAAACATTGTGCCAGGAGTAGCCGCTGAGCATCACCAGATGTGGCTTCAAAACAAACCAAGAAAATCCCAGAAACTTTTTTGCATTCATCATTTTTGAGAACCTGGCTTATTCTGGGCACCAGAAGTAGGAGTTACAAGGAGTTGTTACAAGCAAGGTAGGTGGTGTTCTGTTCTCATGGCATTTCCATCATAGTGAGGGAATGAATAAAAAGTATCAGAAGAAACTTCTTCAGACATATCTCTCCCCTCATACTTCTCTAAGTATATATTTTTTTCAATAAAAACTTTTGTAAAAAAAATCAGAAGGAAGGAAGGTTTAGATGATTTCTAGATGTCAGCTTGAGTATGGACTATTTCAGTGTGCATGGTCTGGGAAATGGCCAGCATGTCCCAGCCTTTCAATTTTCTTGCAGCTTCGCCGACATGAGGTGACCATCTGCAATTATGAAGCATCAGCTAACCCAGCAGACCACAAAGTCCATCAGGTGACCCCACAAACACACTTCATTTCTTAAGGACTGACCAAAGCTCCCACCGAGGGGCTCTGTCAGTGAAGATGTATGACAGCCTGTTGGGAAGAACAAAGAAGCGGGGCTCCAGAGAGCGACGGCTGCCACGGCCTCTGTCCTGCTTTGTCTTTGAGGCCTTGCTGCAGAAGCCAGGCCTACTGAAGAGTCCACACCTCCGGGAAGGGTGGTGTGGCTGCGGGAGGACGATCGTGGTTCTCTCAGGCACTGCCAAAATTAGGTCTTGGCTGGTCAGCAGCTGGCAGTCATGAGTAATGCCTGTCTTTCCCAGTCAGTGTGGCCGTGGGATCCCAAGTGTCTTGTTGCTTTGTGGCAGGATTTTTATGTGACTTGTTTTTAAAAAATGGAAACTATTCCTGGGCTGCGGTAAATTTTTGTGAAACCTCCTCAGCCTTGTGTTTGTATTAGCCATCAGGAGGGTCTCCAACTTGAAATTCTTGTCCCTGCTTGCTTATTCTCCCTGTCATTCAGTATTCTTGTCACGTTATCCAGCTTGGCTCTGTCGTGCAAAAGTGTCCCCTGGTTAGAGCTCAAAGAGCAAGAATATCCTGGTGATGCTTAAGAGCTTGGGGTGAAGATGTTTTTCCTAAGGTTAAGCAGTCTGGGGAGAATATGGGAATCATTTCTGTTTGTGGATATCCTGGTCAAAGTAAGATTGGGATTTTGCTAAGATTCCCCTTAGGATGTTCTTAATGTTATTTAGCTTCTAACTAGTGTTATAAGCTCAATGATAGAATTTGGAGATCTCAGTTCTTCTGTTGATGGCATTTTATTCACTGTGACTAATAAGCTTCCAAATAAATCCTTGCCAGACTTAATGTTTGTATATTATTTTGAGTATTTTTTGTAATACCTGATAAAAATTTTACTTGACTGAGAACTGTATAGAGCTTTGAAGTGTCTTGCTGTATTGAACTTGTTTGATCACAAGTGCCACAATTAGTGCCACACTTAACGGCATTTTGTGAAGATGAAAGTGAGGTTAAAAACCCATGTTCCATTTCTCACAAAAAGGAAGTAACTTGTGGAATGACATAAAAAGCAAGGGCTGAGGATGTAGGTCAGCCATAGAGTATTTGCCTTGCATGTGCGAAGCCCTATGTTTTAATCCCCAGCACTGCCCAAACGAAAAAAATCTAACATACTGAATCCAGAAGAATGAGAATGAAGAAAATAAATGAGCAGCTCATGTAGTCTGAAAATTGGTCAGTACTGTAATTGGAGACAGGTATCTCAAAAGAGGGGATTTGAGATGTTCATTATTCCCTCCCACGTAGACAGTAGTTCATAATGGAAACTGTATTGAATCTGATCTTTTTGTTTGCATCAATACAAATAAGTCAGAATTTTAAAAGCACACACTTGTTCAAAAGTTGTCTTCCCTTTCCAGACTTTCATTAGCCAGGAGTCCTGAAGAGTGGTGGGCTTTTGGTGACAGGGCAGTCATGAGATATGTGTATTCAGCAGGCATTTTTGTGATGTTTCAGGAATTTAGGACTGTGCTGATGGTGTGCTGGTTCCTTCACAAATCTGATTCTCTTAAGAAAACAGCCTACACTGTTAAGAGAATCTCGGTTTCTCCAGCCTCTAGGGATGTCTATCACAACTAAAACCTTAGAGAGTCTCAGGATTTCTAAAATGTAACCTGAAATCAACCAGAATGCAAATGTTATTTTATGTCTGATGCCCTAAGGGTCCTAGTCACTCCCAACCATTGCCTCTATTTGAGTTGGATCATTTTGGAAATAAAAATAAGGGCAGGAAGATCACTCTAAAAGTGTAGCACATGCTTTCTTGACATGCGGAATTTCCTGGTTTGATCCCTAGAATCACACGGGTCCTGAGCACTGTTGGTGTGTCCCCAAAACAGAAATTCGAAGAGGGAGAAAATAAGAAATAGCACAGAATAGCTCTTACACAAAACATTCCAGCCCCTGAGACTGGGCCTCTCAAATTGAAATTTCGCTTAGGTGTTTGTTCAGAGTTATCAGGTGACTGAAGTTGTATTCATTCTATGAACTGTCCTGGCAGGCATTCTGCTGAGAATTGGGCAGCTGCGTAGTCTTTGTCCACTCATCCCACTCTTCCAGCATCAAATTCTTAGTGCTTGGTTCACTGTGGTCCTCTGGGCATAAGAACTCTGGTGTTTTATATTCCTCTGAATAATTAAGACATATTTGGGCCACACCTGGTTATGCTTAGGCTTACTCCTGGCTCTGCACAGGGATCACTCCTGGTGGGCAGGCCTGGGGGGACCATATGTAGTGTCCTGCGGGCATTGAGCCTGGTAGACTTCATGCAAGGCCCTTTCCTTTGTACTCTCTTCACCCCTCATCTTTGACCTGGGTAAAAGTACTCTTTAGGTTAAGCTGGGAGACTTAGTCCTAAATGGCAGGGGATAAGCATTATGCATTTCCTGTTTATAAATGCCCATGTTTTCTCAGACATGGTCCTTTGTCTTCCCTTTTGGTTTTTCTGTGAACTCCTGTTTCCACTCTGCAGCAAGGAGCAACGGGTGATCATGGTGATGGAAGAAGCCCCTTTGTTCTCATCACCCAGAGCTCACTGATGGTACATGGCAAACTTTTCTGCATGCCATTGCTTGTCTGGGGCAGAGCGAGGGTACACGGTCCATGCCAGCCTGTTCAGCTGTCCTGAATGATTTATGTTCCCAGGATCCTTCTGAGATCATCAAGGCCTCACTCAGGTTTTACAGCGTATAAAGCATTTCCATTCGACCTCATTTGGGCCTAACAGCAAAGCTGTGAAGTAAGCAGGGTGGTTATTATCACCATTTATAGTTTAGAAAGCAGGTGCAGAGGCCACATTATAGAGTAATCCGGAGACTGCTGTTTATTTACTTCCCCTCCCGAAGTCTCGGCTTCCCGTCCTTAACTTTAGATAAACAAGAGGGCCTCCCAGGGTCATTTCTGTGCGTTTCTTTCATCCACGATCCTGGAAGAGGGGATGAAAGCCCGTGTTGGCCCCTCCGGAAGACCATCACGCAGCGTGGCCCCCGGGCACGAGCGAGTGGGAAACCAGCGTGAGGACTGCCCGTCCTCGCAGGGCGTTTTCCTCCGGGAGGCGGAAGGGAGGTGGCCGCGAGTGGGAGTCGCGGCCACCTCGGCACAGGTGACGGCGTGGCTTCAGGACGGGGGTGGCGCCCCGGCGTCCAACATGGCAACCGGCCGGGCAGCGCCCGCCGCCGCCGCCGCTTCCGGGTTCCGCGAGGCCGGCCGGGCTGCTTCCGGCAGCGCGATGGCTGGGTTCCCGGGACTCGAACGGAACTTCCGGCGGGGGCGGCCGAGGGGAAGAGTGTGTGTCTGTGCGGGAGGAAGAGGAGACTCGCCCGCGAGCTCTCGGAAGCCCCAGGGAGTGGAGGTAGCCCGGCCGGGGGCCCGCGGGCAAGGGAGGGCGCGAGGCGGGGTGGGGGGCGGCCCGCGGGACCCCCGCGCCGAGCCCGGCGGGCGGGGAGGGGCAGCCGCGGGCCCGGGGATGGGGGCGGGGAGTGAGGTGCGAGGAGGCGCCGGCCGGTCCGGAGACTCGGGCCGGGGAGCGGCCGCAGTGGCCCCCGCGCCCATGAGAGGGACCCCCGGCCCGGAAAGGGGAAGATGCTGGTGGGACAGGCGCCCCCCAGGGTCACAGGGAGAGCGTCCCTTTGTGGGCTGCAGCGGCTCCCTTGTCCGGGAAGAAAATACACCAACCCCCCCCCCCCCCCCCCGGTGGGGGAGAGCGCATCCCCAACCCCCGGCCCGCCTCCTGGGCCGAATAGACACCCCCCGCGGTGGGCAGTGGGAGTGCCCGAATCATGGGGGAAGTTTGGGCCGTGGGGCCGAAGGCCCCCTGGGTAGCGAGCGAGTGGGACATCTTTCTGGAAGGAAGGAGGATGAGGATGAAGGGGGCTCCTAGCCGAGGTCAGGAGGGGAACTTCACTGGGCGGAGAGGGACCCCAGGGCCCGAGCGAAGGGTCCCACTGTGCAGAAAGGTAGTGGGGGTGGAGGCAGAAGCTGGGAGCCTGTTGGGAGGGTGGAGCAGGTGGGCTTCTCCAGAAGGGTGGGCATTTAGAGCCTGCAAGGGAGCTCTTGGGGACTTGGGGCGCAGATGCTGGGCGGGAGCCGGCCGGGCTTTCTGTGATGCCTTTGGGAAGCCCCGCGTGGGGTCAGACTGCGGGGGGGGGGGGGGGGGGGTGAGGGGATCCCGCCGTAGTTCGCAGGCAGCAGCAGCAGCAACAGGTCACCCCATTCACGGGGGTGTGGGGCACCAGTTGGGGTGTGGGTGGCCTAGGGGAGTCCCTGTGCCTTCTGGGGGCTGGGTGGGCGGGAGTTTGGAGCCAGTGTGTGTGGGGGCGGAGGGGGCGGGAGGAGGGGCTGGAGCAGATTTCCCAGCACTGCTGCCCCTGTCATTTGCCAGTAGGCTGGGACTTGGGGCTGAGGGACCCAGGGCTCTGGAGAGGGGGTGATTGGAACGGGCAGAGCGGTTGCTGGCTGAGAGGTAGGTGAGGGGCAGGCAGCAGGGGTCCCTCAGCTCAGCCTCTGCCCACATGTGGGGGCCAGGACAGAGGGAGGTGGAGGGACATGCCAGTCCCACTCTGGGCCAGAACTTTTCTGAGCCCAGGACAGAACCTGGGGTGCTGGAGAGAGGAAGGGGCTTGGGCTCTGGATTTCTCACTCTGGGCGCGGCGCCCAGGGTCTTTGAGCCTAATTGTTGCTCTTGCCTGCCTTGGGGGTTACACAGGCCCCAGCCTTGGAGCCTGCGGTGTATGTGCGGTAACAGCATGTCTGTGCCCCTGCTCACCGATGCTGCCACTGTGTCTGGAGCTGAGCGGGAAACGGCGGCGGTAAGCGCCCTCTGGAGCCCCGGAGCTGTTGGGGAGCGGGGAATGGGAGCCAAGGCAAGGGATTATTTGCCTTTTGGGACCTGCTGGGGTGGTGGCCAGCAGAGGGAGGATGGGGACTGAGGGCAGGATCATGACTCTAATCCTCTTTCAGGTTATTTTTCTGCACGGACTTGGAGATACGGGGTGAGTCCTGGGCTGGGGTGTGGTGGGGAGGGGCAGCCCAGTGGTCAGCTTGGAGAGGCTGGATCCTTTCCTTCTCCCCCTCCACAGCGGTGCCTTTTCTCCCTTCCCTGACAGGCACAGCTGGGCTGACGCCCTCTCCGCCATCCGGCTTCCTCATGTCAAGTACATCTGTCCCCATGCGTGAGTGTGGTTAGGGATCAGTTGGGGGAGGGGGGCGTTCCTGTGGTCCCAGGCCTGGGCGCTTCTGCCAGCTGCTTCCTGGACTTAGGCCCAGGGCAGTTGTTAGTACCCCTTTTAGCCTGCACTCCTGTGGGGCCCCAGGAATGAGGTTCTGCCCCAGCCCCCCTAGACCTGGAGTTTCCCATGCCCCTTCCCCAAGTACTCACCGGCCGACCTTGCCGGAGCCGAGACCCACCGAGTGCTGACTCGGCTTCTGCAGTGCTTTGCTGCTGCTGATGCCCCAAACACAGGCTCCAGCCCCACGTGGCAGGTTGCCTGGCAACACTCAAACACAGTCCTGGCCTGCTGGGAGGGGCCCCTAGGGGCTGCTCTGTCCCTCCCTGGTGCCTCTGTGTCTTCCCGCTCCTGATCACGCTGTCCCCCGTTCACCCCCCCAGGCCGCGCATCCCTGTGACACTCAACATGAAGATGGTGATGCCTTCCTGGTGAGTTGGGGGAGGTGAGGAGGAGCTGAGGGGCAGCAGCAGGGCCGGCCTGGCTCTTCCAGTGGTTGCCAATGTCTGTTCCCCAGGTTTGACCTGATGGGGCTCAGTCCGGATGCCCCGGAGGACGAGGCGGGCATCAAGAAGGCAGCAGAGAACAGTAAGGCCCTGGCCCTTCCCCCAGTATCCTCCACTTCCAAAGCACTGGCCAGTCCCTCTGGCTCCCTTCCCTGGGCCCCTCCAGTGGCTGCTCCCCAACCCAGTGACAACTCCTCCCTGCAGTCAAGGCCTTGATTGAGCATGAGATGAAGAACGGGATTCCTGCCAACCGCATTGTTCTGGGAGGCTTTTCACAGGTGAGGGGAGAGCAAGGGGGGTGAGGGGGTGTTCATACTAGCTGTGCCCTCATCACCTCATTCTCTCCTCTTTCCAGGGTGGGGCCCTGTCCCTCTACACGGCCCTTACCTGTCCCCACCCTCTGGCTGGCATTGTGGCACTGAGCTGTTGGCTGCCCCTGCACCGGGCCTTCCCGCAGGTGAGTGATCTCAGGACCTTGTGGCCTGGCGCTGGTCCCAAGGTGCTGGCCTGGTCCTCTGAGTCCTGTCTGGCCCATAGGCAGCCAATGGCAGTGCCAAGGACCTGGCCATTCTCCAGTGCCATGGGGAGCTGGACCCCATGGTTCCCGTACGGTTTGGGGCCCTGACAGCCGAGAAGCTCCGGTCCGTTGTCACCCCTGCCAGGGTCCAATTCAAGACCTACCCAGGTGTCATGCACAACTCCTGTCCGCAGGTCAGTGGTGAGGGCCCCTTTTCCCCTCCGACTCCCTCCTCTGGGAGCCTCTCACAGCCCCTGCTTTGCCCCCCAGGAGATGGCAGCCGTGAAGGAGTTTCTTGAGAAGCTGCTGCCTCCTGTCTAATCAGACCCGCTGGCCCCCAGCGCAGTCCCCTAGTTCACAGGGGACCCAGCACGCGCAGCACCATCTTGGATCTGAGCCGGCCGAGCCCCTGTCCCCACCCTCCCTGACCTGTTCTCCTCCCACAGGCCTCTGAGGCAGGCGGGATGAGCTTGGCCAGGCCTTCCTTCCCGACCTCAGCCACCCGGCTCTCTGCAGCCGGCAGTGGGCTACTTTCTTACCCATTTCCCTGGAGGTGGGCCCCCTGGCAGCAGTATTGGAGGGGCTGTAGGCAGCGGGAGAAAGGGGCCCAGCCGCTGACCCACTCACTCAGGACCTCACTCACTAGCCCCACTTCGGGCCCCCTCCTGTGACCTCAGGGTTTGGCCCATGGGGCCCTTCCAGGCCCCACCTCCAAACCACCCCACCGGAATCTGCCCAGATAATCGTGTGTCTCTCCTGCCTCCACTCCAGCTGCTTCTCAATCATGAATGTGTCCATGGCCCGGGCCCCCTGGCTGCTGTGGGCTGCCTGCCCCTGCTGGGAGTGTCGATCAGGGGGCAGAGTCCTTGGAGGGGGCCTTTCCCTCAGCCGTTTCCCCAACTAGGGGGCTGGGCCCTGCCTCCCCATTACCCTCCTTCTCTGCAGGCCTGGAGCCTGCAGGGTCGGACTGAGGCTCAAGGTGTCCCCCAGCTGTCTCCTCCCCACCTTGTCCCCACTCTAGGGCCAGGGCAGTGTCAGGGGGGAGTCGTGTCTTGTCTTCTGTCTCCATGTGGTTTTGGGTGTTTTTCTTGTTGTGTCCTGGATTCCGAGAAAATTAAAGAAATTGCTTCAACTCTTAGGCCTGGCTAATTTTGTCCCGGGTCAGTGACCACCTCTGAGGTGCTGCTCAGTGTAAGAAAACCTTTTATTTCAATACGGGACAAAGCTCCGTCGGAGCAGTATGACAGTGCCTGTAGGAGGGTCTTTCGTCCAGGGCCCTGCCTCTCCAACTTGCGCATGGTGGTCCCAGTAGGTTCCCAGACCCTGTGGAAGGAAAGCGGGAGCGACTTCCTGGCTTCCTAGGAACCCCATGGCCTCGGGCCGGGCATAGCAGGCCCTGCTGGGGCTTGAGGTAGGGGAGGCTCTGTGCCCCGGTTGTTCTGCCAGAGGCTGGAGAGCAAGCACTTGTTCTTTTCCTCTTCTGGTCCCTGGTCAGGGCGAGGCTCAGGCCTGTGCACCAAAGCCCGAAGGATTCTGCTTCTGCCATCGCCACAGATCCTCACCTGCAAGAGGCCACTCGGGAGGTCAGAGCCACACTGGGAAGCAGGGCCCCTTGCCGGGGCAGTGCCCTCCTAGCTCCTCTCCAGGGGTCAGGCCAGCACTTACACATCCGGTCCAGCCCTAAGGCTGCAGTCCAGCCCAGCTCCTCTCGAGCTAGGCTGGGGTTGGCGTAACAAGCAGCTACATCACCTTCCCGCCGCGCTACCACCTTGTATGGGATCTGCGAGAGACGGGGTGGTCAGGGCTGGGCTAGACATCTGCCTTGGGTCTCAGGGAGAGTTGCAGAGCACCCATCCAGCAGGTCAGTTCACTGCTGCCGAGGGATCACCAAGGGGGGATTGGCGACCCACCTTTTTCCCAGAGGCCTTCTCCATGGCCTGGACCATCTGTAGCACCGAATAGCCCGTCCCCGTGCCCAGGTTGTAGATCTGCCCAAGAGAGGAGAAGGATTGGGGAGGGGGCTGAGTTAACTACCCCTTTAGGCCCTGGTTGCCCAGGACTCCAGCATGCCCCCATCCCCCCATCCCCACCCCCTGCCCTCCACCGCAGCTCCTTCTCCCTACCCGGCAGCCACACTGCTCCTTCAACTTCTTCAAGGCTGCAATGTGGCCCTTGGCCAGGTCCACTACATGGATATAGTCCCGGACCCCTGCAGGAAAGGACAGCTTTAGGTGGCAGGCTCAGTAATCTGTGTTCCCCGAATCTCCTACTGGTTCCAGTTCCTGGGCTCACCTGTGCCATCCTCTGTGTTGTAGTCATTGCCAAAGACATTCAGCGCCTCCCGTCGCCCAATCGCCACCTAGTGTAGAGGTGCAGTCAGCTCCTCCCAGCCTCTCAGCCCTGGCTGTATCCCTCAGCCACTCCCTCTTCCCCCTTACCTGGGACACATAGGGCATGAGGTTGTTGGGGATGCCCTGGGGGTCCTCACCAATGCAGCCTGAGGCATGGGCGCCGATGGGGTTGAAATACCTCAGCAGTACTGCATTCCAGGCCTGTGGGGACAGTGGGGGGTGGGGGGAGGGTACAGACTGTGTGTCCCGGTGGAATCCACAACCTTGCTCTCTCTAGCCCACACCATCTCTTCCCTAGCCCAGACAGTGCCGTAAGCAGGGCAAGTCCCCACCACAATGTGGCCTGGCCGCCTCCATTCCTTTCCGCCCTCAGGCTCACACAGGGATGTCAGGAGTCAGGGCTGGGGCTCACCTGGTCTGCCTGGCACAGATCCCGGATCATTTCCTCTATGAAGAACTTGGACTTGCCATAGGGGTTGGTGCAGCCCCCTGTGGGGTGAGCCTCATCCAGGGGCAGATACTGGGGGTTCCCATACACGGTGGCTGAGCTGCTGAACACCAGATTCTTCACCCCATGGGCCCTCATGATCTGCCCAAAGAGGGGGGTGTCAGTCTGCATTTAATCCCACCCTTTTTCCCACAGGTGGATGAGGCCAAGGTCTGGGCAAGCCTATGTACACTTGGGGAAACTGAGGCTGAATGGCAGAGACATAATCAAGATGATACAGCTTGGGGAACTGGGGATGTGGCTCCGTGGTAAAGCATATGCTTCCCTAGCAACACAGACACACAAACATACATGCAAGCATGTGTGCACACAGCTTGAGCTGGAGAAATAGCTTAGCAGGCTGAAGTGCATGTTTTGCATGCAAAAGGCCCAAATCTTGATGCCACAAATCCAGATTTGTGCCCAGTACCACATCTGGTCCCCAAGCACTGCCAGGAATAATCCCCAGCAGAGCTGAAGTGAGCACAGCTGGTCCTGCATGCAAAGTATATTCCAGGATCTCCCCAGCCCTCTCCCAAGGCTTTTTTTTTTTTTTTTTTCACTATTTGGCACCACCCGGTGAAGGCTTCCCTGCCTCTGTGTCCTTGCTCCACCTCTCACCTCCAGAAGCTGGATGGTCCCTGTTAGGTTAACCCGGTAATAGTCCAGTGGCTTCTGCACTGACTCTCCCACAGCTTTGAGCCCCGCAAAGTGGATGACGGCCATGAAGTTGTGCTGTAAGGGTAGAGTGGGGCTTAGAGGTGGCTTGAGAGGCCCAGGACCTGGGCGGCACCCCCTGCCTGCCAACCCCTCACCTTCTGGAAAAGATGATGCAGGGCTGCCTGATCCAAGATGTCCATCTCCTCAAATTCCACAGAGCGGCCAGTCAGCTCCTGAATCCGCCTGAGGCTCTCAGGCATGGAGCCTCTTCCTAATGGGGTGCACAGAGGCCATCAACTCGGCAGAAGATGGGGTGGCTCCTGGGTTCCGAGGGCTTCCTTTCATCCCCTCAGCGCTCCCCACTCCTGCACATGCTCACCGCGGATGGCATTGTGGAAGTTATCAATGACCACTGGCGAGTAGCCTGCTTCTAGCAGCTCCAGCACTGTGTGACTGCCGATGTAGCCGGCCCCGCCTGTCACCAGCACCTTCTCCGCCATGGTACCTGGCCAAGGACACAGTCTCAGCGCTTGCCACAGAGCCCACTCGGGGCTACTGGGGAGGCTACCCTGGTCAAAAGGGACCTTCACTTTCTGGCCTTAGGCATGGGGTTCACTTAGCCTCCTTTAATTTCCACTTCTAGGAAAGGGTGATGCTAGTTGTACAAACAACAGATGGAGGTGTGGGGTGAAGTTCAGGTGGCTACATTCCTGCTGCCACGTGGCATAGGTCGGGGGCACAATGCATAGGTGCCAGGTTCCTAATAGACCTAGGGGTGGGCAGCACAGAGACAGGGCAGTAGATCTGGGACTCAAGGACCTGGGGACGGTCCTTCCAATCCAGCTGCACTCGGTGGAGAGGGCTCCTCTGCTCTGAGACTAACCTGTTCTAGGCAGCCCCCAGGGTCGGCTGGAAGGAAGCAGGAAATGCACCAGAGAGCCTCAGGGTGGGGTTCTTTGCCAGGATGAGCCCGGTTCCGGGTTACATGTTGGCAGTCCTGGAATGGGTTCACCCACCCCACCCCAGGGCGGGCAGTCTGGCTAGGGGCCCCTGGGTCGTCCTGTCTTGGAGCTGAGGATCCCGCCCCACTCCCGGCAGCACTGGGCCAGGCTTGTAGACGTGGCCTTGGCCCCGATTCCACTGCCAGGTGTACATCTCCGCCCTAAACAAACTCTGTGGGCAGAGGGGGCCAAGGGGAAGGAAGGTCCTGACACTGCGGCCTTTCATTTGGAGCGGCCTGCCCCCATCCCTTCGGGGCTCACCCAGCTCTAACCCACAGACTGAGCTCCTGCTGCGTGCCTGGCACCAAATCGGATACTTTTGCATTATTTTCCTGAGTTCCCCCAACATCCCGCAGAGGCAGGTGCTGTTCCCGGGCATACAGATCCTTTGCTGGAGACCACACAGCTCTTGAAAGCTGGTGAGCTCTCGGATCCGGATCTGCAGGCTCACAGCCCTCCCCCTCCATTGCTTCCCGCCGGACTCTGGTCGGGACGGCCCACCCGCCCCCACCCCTACGCCGCCGCGTTCCAGCTCGGCGCGAATGCCGGCAAAGCGGCGGTCCAGGCGTTCTAGCTGGCAGGAGGGGCTGGAGAGACGGGGCTCTCCGGGCCGGGCCGTCAGCGATCGCCTTCTCAGTTTTTCCAGGCTGCGAAAGGAAGGGAAGGGCGGTGCTCCTCGAGCTGGGGTGTGGGCCGAGGGTCGGATGGGCCCGGACTAGGAGGATGCAAGCGGGAATGAATGAACCCGGGCCGCCCCAGCCGAGGCGGTGGGAAGTGGAAGCTAAGAGGGCAGACCGGGACTCTGCTCAGAGCGCGGCCCGGCCTCCCCAGGTCTCCCTCTCTAGACCCCGACCACCCGCTCCCCCGACAGCCCGCCCACCCTTCCTTCGCCGCGCGAACCTGCAGGGGACCGCCAGCCCCGCGCTGCATCCAGCGGCGCCGCCTCCCGCGCCCCACACCCTGGTCCCTTTAAGAGTCCAGGCTGCCTGCCCCGCCCCCACCACGCCCCCTCGGAAACGTGTCACTTGGGAGTCGGCACTACGGGGCGCGGGGAGGGCCAATCCTCAGTGGCTTCACGACGCCTGCGCGGTGCGAGTCCGGGCGGGCGGCCGGGGGTGCGGGGCGGGAGACGCCTGGACTGGGCGTGGAGTCGAGCGTGGAGGTTGGGCCCGTCCTGGGCCCACGTCCCTGTACGCGCGCCTGGCGCACGCTTCCGCCCCGACCCCTGAACCGAGGCCCCTGGCGCGGCGCTGAGAAGGGCCCGGCGCTGTCGGGTCGGATCGGGTCGGTCCTGTCTGAAAAGCAGAGCGCTGCGTTGCAGACTCTGAAACCCAAGGGCTCACACTGCCAACAGTGGGGCAGGGCTGGTCTGCACCCTGATGTTCCGACAAGGTGGGCTCGAGAGTGCTGTGTGTAATCAGAGGTGGATGACACCTGAGCAGAAAAACACCAGGTGCTTCCCGCGGTCCAGATAGCCTGGGTTCACCTACCGAGGCAGAGCCACCGACGGATGGCCGAATGGGGAGTGGTGGCCAGAGTGGCACCTGGCCAGACCCAGAAGAGCAGGTGTGGGCTCCTGTCCCAGGAGCGTGTGCACTGGGCCTGGTCACCACCCAGAACCTAGTAGAAACAACCTCCTCAGGGTGTCCTGACGAGCTTTGAGTTGCCAACTTCCAGTCCCTATATATTGGGCTCATAAAGGTATACAGAGCAATGTTACAAAGATGTTTTATTTCCCCCACCAAGCCTCCTTCAGTTATAAATACACACATCTGCACAGAATACTGGAATGATTCTCATCAAACTTTTAATTACATAAGGTGTTTTCAAAAATCACTTTTAGAGAAGAAATTTTCCAGAGGTGTTAGAGAGTTGGTGACCCCCACTGCAGCTCACTCTCACCCCACCAGCAAATACTATCACCAGCTTGGGGAACAACTCCATGCCCCTTTGCCCTCTGAAGCTGAAGAGCAATGACCCCAGACCACGGCTGAACTGTGAAGCCAACTAGGAGATTACATCCACACACAGACTTGGTCTACTGGAGTCCAGAGCCAGGGAATTGATTTCCAAGTACCTCAGACACTCTGCTGTACTCCTGGACCTGCAGCCTCTCACTCACACACAGGTCTGGCAGGAGGGACTGTTGCTCCCCTCCTTTCTGCCAGGAGAGACCTGTGTGCAGAGCTGTGAGGCACCGCCAGCTCTTTTCATTTCAATCCCTCTTCACTATCTGCGAATTATTGGTGCTGTGCCCCTATACCCACAGTCCCCAGGGTTTGGGGTATGGAGTGGGGTGGTCAGCGCAAGGGGCTCACAGTTTACAGGTAGCTTGAGACACTTTAGAGCTGGTTTTTCTGTTCAAGGCTTGACAAATAAAGGTCCCAGCTTCTTGGAGCTTCTGGAGGTTCACACCCTTTGAGAAACAAGTTGGAGGGCACAGTAAGTCATAACATGCTCTCAATGCCCAGCAGACTGGACAGACAACTTAGCTGCCAAAAAAGAAAAGGTGCAAGCTGCCTGTGAGATTGTATTCTGGCACCGAGGAGGGCTCTTCCAAATTTCCTTCACCTGGGCAACAATTTGTATGTGGTGCAATGATCAGGGCAGGGATATCCAGAGCCTAACCCAGATCTGGCTCATAGTGGTCAAGAGCCTCACTGTAAGTAAGATCTGAGAAACAGGTAGGAGTAAAAACATCACTACAAAGGCCATATCAAAAACCTCTTCTTGGGCCAGAGAGATAGCACAACGGGTAGGGCGTTTGCCTTGCATGCGGCCGACCGGGGTTCAATCCCCGGCATCCCATATGGTCCCCCAAGCACTGCCAGGAGTAATTCCTGAGTGCAAAGCCAGGAGTAACACCTGAGCATTGCTGGGTGTGACCCAAAAATAATAATAAAAAAAAAAAGAAACCTCTTCTGGGGGGGGAGGGGGGGACCGCTCAAGGGCTAAGTGCCTGCCTTGCATGCAGGAGGCTCAGCTTTAATCCCTGTTATCACATGGTTCCTTCCTGGTTACTGCCAGGAGCAACCCATAAATACTGAGCTGGAAGTATCCCCTGAGAACTGCTGGGTATAGCCCCCAAGGAAAAAAAGAACCAAAACATGAAACTTCTGTTTGGGGTGGGAGAGATGGCTCAAGGGCTGGAGCACATGTGGGAGGCCCAGGTTTAGTCCACTACATTGCATGGTCCCTTGAGCAACATGCTGGGAGTAACCCTTGAGTACCACTAGGTGTGCCCAAAAGAGGAAGAGGAAATTAAAAAACCCAGCCAAACAAAATCCATCTGTTCATAAAAGTTTCTCAGCTCTGAGTTAAGCATTCTACCTTTTCTCATTTAAACCTTTTAAGTACCCTATCAGAAAGATGATACTATTATTTCTCTTATTTAATTATTTTTTTAAGTTTTTGGGTCACACCTGGCGATGCTCAGGGATTACTCCTGGTTCTGCTCTGTGGAATTATTCCTGGCTCAGGGAACCAAATGGGATGCTAGGGATTGAACCTGGACCAGGTTCATGCAAGGTGAGCACCTTACCCAGTGTACTATCTCGCTAGTCCATATTATTCTCATTTTCTAGGCCCAGAGAGGTGAAATGATTTGTCAAGTCCCACACCCTGTGAGTAGAAGGACCAGGTCATAAAACCAATTCTGTCTAATCCCAAAACCCAGTTCACAGTGAAGGGGTCTTACTGACTGGTTCTCCTGGGGGCTGTACAATGCTCCTGGCTTCATTTTACAGGGAAAAGGAGGACTTGAACTTAGGGCCTCCTACATGCAAGGCAAGTGCTGTACTGCTGAGCTACAGGGCTGGTACCGCCTCAAATTGCCTTCCAACTCACACTGGAACCTGGCCTTCTCATGGCCTCCATCAACCAAACTCTACTTCCTCAAAACTTCACAATAAAAGATCCTTCCACCACTAACCCTTCACACACAGCAGCCACCCCTCTGAGCTTCCCTCCACACCATAAGCGGGAAAAGAAAACCCCTTAACTCCTCAGCCATCCTTGGGCTTTAGGCTCAGGTCAGTTCAGTGCCCTCGCCACCAGGGGGCAGGAGGACTTACCGTTTGAATGCCCAAACCAGTGAGCATGTAGACAAGGTCCTCCGTGGCCAAGTTTCCTGAAGCCCCTTGTGCATATGGACAGCCTCCAAGTCCAGCTACAGAAGCGTCCACAACAGTCACACCCATCTGGAAACATAAAGACAGTGAATCGTGAACCAGGGGTTCAGAGTTTAAAAGCCCCTCCAGGGGACTGGAGAGAGCACAGCAGGTGGGGGGTTTGCCTTGCACGTGGCCAATCCGGGCTCTATTCCCAGCATCCCATATGGTCCCCTGAGCAGCACCAGGAGTAACTCCTGAATGCAGAGCTAGGAGTAACCCCTGTGCATTGCCAGGTGTGACCCAAAAAAGAAAAAAAAAAGCCCCTCCAGGCACACTTCCAATCTTCTGTTGCTCGAAGACCAAGAGTCACTCATTCCTCGGGTTTCTGAGTAATCAGGAAAATCTTGCTGCAAGGCATTTCTTTCTCATTTATTTCCCAGACCAGTGTGAATCCTGGCTGCACACAGGTATATCTTTTAATGGTGCAGAGGCTCGGACCCAGGGCACCATAGGGGAAGAATGTGTTCTACCACTCTACCACTGCGTCCACCTGGCGGGATGGGGGAGGGGGTGAAGAAAGCGGGGGTGGGGGGGGGAGAGAGAGAGAGAGAGAGAGAGAGAGAGAGAGAGAGAGAGAGAGAGATGCCTCTTTGGGGCGGGGGAGACACATTGAGGCATGTTTGCATTCAGGAGCCTGGGATTGGTCTGGCACCACATGATCCCGAGCACTGCCGTGGGTTTGTCCCCCAAACAAAAACCTCAGCGAGCTCTTTCTGGCTTACCCATCTAAAATAAGCCCTTCCTGCTGTTGAGACCTCAGACCCCTTACTACTACTCTGACTTCAAGTCTAACCCCACTGGGCCTGTCCCATTTCCCTATGCCAGTTCCCTCCAGATAATTCTTTCTCTCTTGTTTTCATCCTGTAGCAACCCTTAATTTTGATAGCCACAACTCTGAGAAAATTAGATCTGGAAAGCATCAGAATTGTTAGAAACACGTGCTCTAAGCAACAGACAAAAAGAAAAGAAAAAAAGTATGGGAAAGGGAAGGTGGCTTAGGGCTTTGGTAAACCCAAAGACAACAATTCATAGACTAATGCTATAAAAAAGTTGGTCTACGGTCAAACACTCAGAACTTCTAAGAAGCTTCTAGTTTACAACCTTTCATTCTGGGCCAGCCCTTAAGAGGCAAACCTCTGGGGGCACAGCCTGAGTGCTTAATCTAGTCTTTGGGGAAAAGCATTAAAGGGTGAGTGAACTCTACGGGCTTATTCCTGCATCCTTGCCAGCTCCCTCACATACAAGCAGGCAAACTCACAACCCCGTATGGTACCACAGGCAGTAATCTGTGAGTTTCCTCTGAATTCTCTGTCCCCCCTACCCCCACACTGGTTTTACAAAATGGTATAGCCTAGTCATATCTCTGCTGTTCTGGTGGCATGTGGGACCACTACTGGTGCTGCTCAGGGGACCATTTGGCTCCTGAATGCAATGCATGTACTCTAGGCCTTTGAGTCACCTCTCTGGCCCTCCACTGTTCTTTTATATTTGGGGAGCCACACCAGCAGTGCTCGGGTGGTACTATGGGCTGAATGTAGATCTCCTGATGCACAGTACACTCAGCCCACTGAGCTGCTCTGAGGCCACTACTGTATTTTTCAATGCATGACTTCTTCATGCCCTTCAATCCTTTCTTAGGAGACTTCTGGCAGATCTCCTCCCCAGTCAGACAGGGAACTTCTTCAGCTCTGTGCCTCCTCCTTTATTTATCCTGAGGTGTTAAGATTATCACCTTAAGTCCTTTGTGGCTGACCCCTAATTGATGCAGGTACTTTCAGGGTGGGGGCATATGTTTGTGTCT